GGGGGCGGGGGAACCACTGTCTCTGTCAAGGAACCCGTGGGTTAAGGGGTGTTCAAGGAAACGGCATCTCCTTGTAACAGCCCTGAGTGGCCATTGGAAAAGGCCAGTTGCCTCTGGTGCCTCACAGGTCATCACAAGTCGCAGAGCTCACCGCACAGACGGGAAGCACATGGGATACGGACCGCTAAAGCCTCTTCCAGGTCCCACTACATCCAGAGGATGAAAATCGGCTCGCGTTCCCTGGCTTGGGTTACGGCGCACCTCTCCAGGGACGCAGAGGGTCACCTGTGTCTCCTGCGACCAGTGGACAGACCAAGGCAGAGAGAAGCCTGGGACCCCATCAGAAGTGTCTTGTTATTTATATGGATGACACCCTAATTAGAAGAACCAGTTAGTGCAAACTGCCCTAAACAGGGTGGCCCAGTACCTGCCCAGGGCTGAAAAATGAACCCAGGCAAAACACAGAAGCCAGCCCACCCAAGCAAAGCCCTCAGGAGCCATGTGGGCCGATGCCCAGAGGACCATTCAGAGGGAAACCACCGGCCTTAAAACCTCCAGGACACCAAAAGGAGGTGAAACATCTGACAGGCATGTCTGGTTACTGAGAACAGTTTATACCTCAGCCCACAGCATAAGGTTACTTGGAAGGCAGACCCCGTTGGGTGAGGCCCTGAAGGACAGCAGGCCTCAGATTCTGCCCTCCTACTAGAACCATTTAGTCCTCTTGAGCCTTGTTGAGTCCAGCCATTGTCAGTGGTTGACAATCTGCTTGAGAGGGCCATTGCCCTGGGGCAAAGGTGCCCCTGGGTTTAGGATACACAGCACTCGCTTGACAGGCTCTGCAGACCCTCCTTGAGTGGCAATTACTGGCTTGCTATTGGGGGCTAGTGATCCCCAAGAGACTAAGGTGTTTTTATATCCCGACATCCTCGTTTCAGGATGGGGCTGGAGTGCAGACAGTGATGAAGTGGGTGCAACCAACAAGCATTTATCATGAAGGGGAAATGAGGCAGCCGAGAACTGACTAAGCCAGCATGAGCAGAATCTCCTACCTGCAAAACGGTGCCTGGGTATGAAGCGTGCTACCCCGGAGGCAGAGTCTGTGCCAGCATCTTGGGTTTTTGGGGCCCCTGGGTCCCTGAGGACCTGGGCCCAGCTCATGGACAGATCAGCAGAGTTAATGGCCAGTGGGGTGCTCGGAAGAGCTGCAGCTGCAACCACAGAGAGAATGGGTCAAAATGTCGCATGAAGAGGGGACTCCACCCAACGGGCAGAGTTGCTGGCTGCGCAAACACGCTTGCGGGGTAAACACCACTCCAGTGCGGGTGGCTGAATCGGGTGGTCTGCCATCTACTCGCCGGACAACGGGATGATCAAGTCCCAACGCTGGTAGGAAGAGCATTACGGCAACAGCTTATTTGGGACACATGTGTCCTGTTCACAGCCCATGGAGATCACAGTGGTTACTTTATATGTCAGCTTGCCTGAGCCGTGGTGCACAGACATGTGGGCAAACATTGGATGCAAACTGGATGTTTCTGTGAAGGTGTTTTTGTTTGAGATTAACGTTTGAATCAGTGGACTTTGAGTAAAACAGATTTCCCTCCATAATGTGGAGGGCTTTGCCCAGTCATCTGAAAGCCTGAATAGACCAAAAGCCTGAACTCCCCCAAGCAAGAGGGGATCCCGCAGCAGGCAGCCCTCCGTCCTGACCCGCAGCGCCAGCTCCTCGCGGAGCCTTCAGCCTCACAGCCGTCAGACGTGAGCTGCGTGTGGCTCTCTGCGTCTCCAGCCTTCTGGTCTCATCTCCAGATTTTGGACTTGCCCACTTCTATAATCACAGGAGACTTATTCCCTTAAATAAACCTTTCTCTCTCTCTCTCTCTATATATATATATACACACATCCTCACATTCTATTGTTCTCCTCTGGAGAATCCTGGCCGATATAGGGATGCCCTCTGAGACGGGACATTCATACCATTTGACCAAGAAAATCAGTGGAACCAACAAGCTGATGGGAACTGTACCACCCAGCTAAGAACCACAGCTGTCCAGATACACTGTCACATGGGACATGGAGGCCATCTGCCATCCAGGGCCTGGCTAGCTATGTGCCTGCATTCCTAACTACACAGTGTAGTGGCAGAGAGAACTGCAGGGCACATAGTCTGGAGCCCTGAGCCTGGCTGGTCCTAGTCCTGACAAATAGACTATACGGACATCCTCCTTTCCCCAGAGGCCACCACTGGACATTGACTGTGGATGGCACAGCAATTCCCATCTGTTCAGTGAGTGTGACCATGCTACTCCAGGAGTCCTAAATGTTATATGTTGCATATTTGGGTCCTCCAAACACATCCAATTGGACAATGGTGCCGCCTTTATAGCCAAGAGTTCTCAGCAGTGGGCTAACTACCAGGGGCATTTGCAGGACACTTCATGCCCTGTATTACCCACAGGTGGCAGGCACCAATGAAAGATGGAGTGTACTCTTAAAGAAGAAATGAAAAAGACAGGTGGACAACAGACGCTCAGCTGCCCATGGAGCACGCACTCGGGGCACAGCGGTGTGGATTCTCAGTGTGGCAATCTAGGGAAGGTTCTCACTGGGACAGAGCTTTTAACTATAAGGGAGAGAAGAGGCCCCGACTGGCTATTAAGAGACTCAAACCACTTAGGGAGTCCCTATCCCTTGTCCTGCTCCTGTCATGCCTGCATCCAGGAAATAAGGCAGTGGAAACAACAGCGGAAAAGAAGAGCAGGGGGTGGGAGATTCTAAACTGGTCCTTTTCCCATCGCCCACGTCATGCTGTGGGTATCAGGGCTGTTTGCCTGCCAAACGCAAACCAGTTTTGACTCTTTTTTTAAGTAGCGATGGGCAATCAAACTGTCCCAAGCTTCATGCTGGCCAGTCAAGGCAGCACATATGCGGTTGCCAACACCTCTTGCCGCATTTGGACTAATGAATCAGGAAACGCGGAGCTATGTGGCCCTCTAAGGTCAGTCCCCAGGGGCCTCTCACTTATAGTGGTCTGGCTCCAGGTGGGGAGCCTGGCTGTGGCCTGTCCTTCAAGGGGGATGGGTCACATAGTTGGGGGAAGCATAGTTGTGGTCATTCTCATCTGATATTAAGACAAATAGGAAGGATTTGGTCCAAGCTCTGTCAGTACACTGAGCTAGCTGATGGGTGGCTACGCTCCTGGAAATAATTCTTAGTTGGACATTTGAAAGCTTGAGGTGGCAAGAGGTCGTTAGAAACAGCCCTGACACGGTGCCCTGACATCACGTGGATCCCCAAGAGGACACAAAGTCAAGGCTTGACCACAGTCCTTCCCAAGTCTCGGCAGAGCACGCTATGATTCCTCTCACAACAGGCACCCTGGGATTCCTCCCAGAGCAAAGGAAGATGCGCAGCCTGGGGGGAAAGAGCTGTCCCTCCAGAAAGCAGCGGGAGCACCCCACAAGGCCGCTTCTCATCCCTCTTTCTAGTTTCATTTGAATATAGGACTTCAGACCTGTCCCCGACCCCCAACTAAGAGTGCAGCTGCAGGCCAGAGAATTACTGAGTTGGTTCCTCAGCCACAGAGAGACCCACCGCCGTGCCACCGGGCATCTGGGCCTGCTCTGCCTCAGTGTTGTCTGGTGACTAAGGAAAGCTGACACCATGCTGGTCTGACTTTTGCTGTTAGTGTAATAAGCTGTCTGGACCCATCCGGGCTTGTTGTCCACATCCTGGCTGAGTCTGTGGAAGTGCACAGGCCTCCCCTGCAGCTCCAGTAGTGACCCTTTGGCCTGGTCAGCCACCAAGCTGTGCTTAGGGACTGTTTGACCTCTTGACAGAGGGAACATTTTGGGATGCTGGGAATGATCTATGTTTTGATCTGGGTGGTGATTATACTGTGTATACACTTATCAAAACTCATCAAGCTGTACTTAAGACTTGCACCATAAACTGTAAGTTAAACCTCAATAATAATGATAATAAAGAACCACCAGAGAACAACCGAGAGTTCTTGAAAATTAAGATTATGATTGCCAAAGGGAAAATTAAGTAGAAGGGTTTTAAGATAAATTTCCCAGAACACAGGGGAAAACAGAGACGTCCAGGGTGAGGAGCCCAGCCCAGGTGTAACACCTTAGTAACAAGTGCTCCAGTTAGAAAATAAACCAAGAAAAATGTTCACGATGGTGATTAAATAAATGGGAGTTGAAACAATGAAGTGACATTTTAAATATGGTTTATCAAACAAAATACTGTTTAAGTAATACTGGCAGTTCCTGATAGTGTGATCCTTTAGGGGAGCAATAGGGTGCCAGGGACCATCAGTCCTAGCAGTCCTTCCCTTTTGCCCGGGTAACCTACTGCTGCAAATTTGTTCTAAGGTAATAATTTGGAAAGAAAACAAACGTGGAATTCATGGAATGTCCACTGCACTAGGTTTATTATGCTGCAAAGTTATGAACAACCTAGATGCCCAGTGAAAGGCGAACCACCAAGGCAGTGGTGTCTTTCTGGGCGGCCAGCACCCCAGGAGGCGGCCCTCTTTGCCCGAGAAGCGTCCCTATACCAATGAAGGGTTCCCAGCCAGGACCGACGGCGCCCGGAAACCATGCCGCACGGTTCGGCTGCTGAAATGGTGGGGAACGCTTCCATTACTGTTTGATAACGCGCTGAGTCTAGGAAGATGCAGAGAAATGAAGTCGCGCGCCCCTGCTCGAGGTCCGCAGCGCGGAGGCCTCGCGGGCCGCGGCTGCGCACTGCGGAGGCGCCCGGGGCCAGGGCGGGGGCGCCGGGGGCGCCGGGGGCGGACGCGGGCGGGACTGGGGGTCGGGGCTGCTGTTGGAGGCCGCGCGGGGCATGCGGCGGCGGGGCAGGGGCCGGGGGCCGCGCAGGGCGGCGGCCGGGCGGGCAGGCGGGGCGCGGCGGCGCTGTCCCCGCTGTCCCCGCCCCGCACGCTGCTCGGCCGGGCGGCCGGGAGGGGCGGGCACCGGGGCCCCGCGGAAGCGCGGCTGCGGCGCGCCGTGCCGGCGGCGAGGGGAGGGCGGACGCCCGCCTTCGCCCGAGTGGCTGCCTCGGCGGGCCGCCGCCCCGGGCATGTGAGCGCGGCAGCTGGCCCGCGGGCCCGGAGCGGCGCGGAGGCCGGCCGCACACGGTAACGCGCCGGGCGGGCCTCGGGTGGGGGGCTTCGGCTGCCCGGGCCGCGGCCGGGCTCGGGCGGCGCTTCGGAGGCGTTGCGGCCCGCGGGGCCGACAGAGTCGGGGAAGGCCGCGGCCTGGCGGGGCGGCGGGGAGCGGGCCGCCGGAGCCCCGCCGCAGGTGCCGATCCCCCGCGAGCCAGCGCTCTCCCCGCAGCTGCACCCACTCTGGCCTAGCCCCAGCCTCCAAGGGCTAAAAATACGGCCCGGAGGCTCCCGAGCGGAATCAGACCCGCTAAGTAGGGCACAGCGCGTAGAGGCGGCAGGGCCCCTGGAGCCAGGCTCGGAACCGGCTCCCACCCACGCGCGCAGGCGGCCGGCGGCCTCCTGGTCCTCTGGAGTTGCCCGCGACCGAGCAGCCGTGCCCAGCCCCTCCCTACCCGGCGGACCTTCAGCAGCCGTCGCGGCTGGCTTCCCAGGGGACCCCCTAAATTGCTCCATAAACAGAGGCCGAAAGTTACCTACTGCAGGATTGGAACTAACCCGGGGAAGACATTGGACTTGCTTTATGTTAGAAATATAAACTGCTTCTTTTTAAATTCATTCTGTATTTCTGAATGAGAGAGTTGCTGTGCCAGGCACCGTTTGTAATGAGTCCGATCCAAGGAGAAAGGCTTTCCTGCTGGTGGCTTTGGGCTTCAAATCAAATCAAAACAGATATCAGTTTATTCCTCTGAAAGTAGAAGCTCATGACCAAGGAGCCTGGACACACCTCCGCTGACGGCGTGTCCTGCAGGCGAGCTCGGTGGGGGCTGGTTACAATCAGGAGTCTGTGTGCTGGGAAGCCCGTACTGGGTCTTGTTCTCTGTAGCGTTAGCCTGGGAGAGCGGCCTCGCCACCCTGGGACCTGAGCGGCTGCGGGGAGCATGCAGGCCCCCGCTCAGGCTTGCTGCCTCCTTGTGCTTTCAGTGGCTCCGCGGAGACATTCAGGGCCAGGCTGGGTCGGGACCCACAGCCAGTGCTGGATTTGGGGCTTAGAAGCTTGCTTTTCTTTGGAGTCAGGAAACGGGTGTTCTTTGGGAGCAGCCCTCAGGAGCTCATTGGGGCACTCGGTGGGACGACCACCGAGGGCTTTTGCCTGCTTGGGACTACAGAGGGCGCCCCTCCCGCCAGGTGTGTGGAGGCCAGTATGAAGCTGAAAAAGCAGGTGACAGTGTGTGGGGCAGCCGTCTTCTGTGTGGCGGTCTTCTCGCTCTACCTCATGCTGGACCGAGTGCAGCACGATCCCACCGGACACCAGAATGGGGGGAACTTCCCCCGGGTGAGTCACGCCGCCTGCTAATCTCGGCATGCGCAAGCCACGTGACCTCTGGTTATAGCCCCGCCGGAGAGTCCTGTCAGCCCAGGACACAAACTTCCCATCCCAACTGGCAGATTTTCTACAAACCCAAAGCTCAAAACAATGATGGCAAAAAAGGAGGAGGAAGGAGAAATGGTATTACGAACTGCTGCCCTTCCTCCTGAATTCTTGGCAGATGTTGCTAATGGATTGCAGCGTTTTTTACCAGAGTCCCGTAGATTCCGTGTCGGCAGAGTGCTGTCCAGACAGCCCACACCGAGGGCTGAGCCTGCGAGACGAGCTCTTTGCCGTCCGTAAGCTAGCGAGCGAGGGTGCCCCCAGCCCAAGTGGACGGCGGTCCTCAGTAGTGATTCCCCCGGTTCCTCACCTGACCCCTGGGCTCCTGGTGCTGCCTCCCAGTGGGGAGGGAGGACCCCAGGCAGGCCTCAGGCTGTAGGCCCCGTTCAGAGATCTTCCCTGTGGCGCGAGGGGCCGTGGGTGATCGCGTCCTGGTTTTTCGGCAGAGCCAAATTTCTGTGCTGCAGAACCGCATTGAGCAGCTGGAGCAGCTGCTGGAGGAGAACCACGAGATCATCAGCCACATCAAGGACTCCGTGCTGGAGCTGACAGCCAACGCGGAGGGCCCGCCCGCCCTGCTGCCCTACTACACGGCCAACGGCTCCTGGGTGGTGCCGCCGGATCCCCGGCCCAGCTTCTTGTCCATCTCCCCTCAAGACTGCCAGTTTGCTTTGGGGGGCCAGCACCAGAAGCCAGAGCTGCAGGTAAGAGTCAGAGCTGACGGGGACCCGTGGGGGCCACAGATGGGGCCCTGAGCTCTGCTCCTTCCCCCCAGATGCTGACTGTATCGGAGGAGCTGCCGTTTGACAACGTGGATGGTGGTGTGTGGAAGCAAGGCTTCGACATCTCCTACAGCCCACACGACTGGGATGCGGAAGCCCTGCAGGTGTTCGTGGTGCCCCACTCTCACAATGACCCAGGTGTGATCCAGCGGAGCCCTGGGAGCTGGGGGCCGGAGTGGGCTTTCTGATGGCAAAGGCCGGTGAAGAAGATGCTGGTGTTCTCAGGGGACCCCATGTTGGCTCCCCAGGCTGGATCAAGACCTTTGACAAGTACTACACAGAGCAGACACAGCACATCCTCAATAGCATGGTGTCCAAGCTGCAGGAGGACCCCCGGCGGCGCTTCCTCTGGGCGGAAGTCTCCTTCTTTGCCAAGTGGTGGGACAACATCAATGCCCAAAAGAGAGCGGCAGTGCGAAGGCCAGTGCAGCCAGGAGGCATGGGAGGGCTCGTGCCCAGGCCCTAGTGGGGGAGCCAGAGTGCAGGAAGAGGGAGGGGGAAGCAAGGTGGAGGCGAGGAATGGTGGTGGGGTGGCCAAGGAAGAGAGGCACGGATAGGTTGGAGGGTCCCTGGTGTCAGAAGAAACCAAAGTCCCTTGAGCACGAGTGAGGAGCAGGCATGGGGCCTGGCCCCTGGGGGCACACCCAGGACACCGGGGAGGTGGGCTGGAGGGACGGGAGGTGCATGTCTGTTCTCTGGGTCCTGTGTTCAGGGGAGCTGACCCGTCCTGGCATCCTGGGGTTGGCAGGACTGGGCAAAGGGTCCCTGCCCCATGCTCTGTGTGATTCCTCACCCAGGCTGGTGGGAAATGGGCAGCTAGAGATTGCAACAGGAGGCTGGGTAATGCCGGATGAGGCCAACTCCCATTACTTCGCGCTGATTGACCAGCTCATCGAGGGCCACCAGTGGCTGGAGAAAAACCTTGGTGAGTCTAGGCTTAGGGGTGGGAGGCTGCTGCCATGCCTGAGCTCGAGGACAGCAGGGGGCTGTAAGGCATAGGGGGATTGGCAAGGGTGGTTCCTTCTAGGCTAATTCCACCAGCAGGGGCCTGGTGTGGTGGCAAGATGGTTGCTGGGGCCGCAGTACCGCAGTTCAGGGCCTCTGGCTTCCGTGCCCCTGCGCAGGTATAACCCCGCGCTCTGGCTGGGCGGTGGACCCCTTTGGACACAGCCCCACCATGCCTTACCTGCTGCGCCGCGCCAACCTGACCAGCATGCTGATTCAGAGGGTGCACTATGCCATCAAGAAGCACTTTGCTGCCACCCACAACCTGGAGTTCATGTGGAGGCAGACCTGGGGTAAGGCCAGGTAGGGTGGAGGGGGTCACAGCAGTTCTCCCTGGGGAAGGGCAGGGATATCAGAAATAAGACCCCAGTCCTTCAGAGCAGACCAACAGGACCTGGTGTGGACTGCCAGCACGCCCTCTCCTCCACGTTAGGTCATGATCACACTGACCTCTGGTCTCTGTGGGGCTTGCCACCCATCCTGAGGGTCTGAGCATACCGCCCCCTGGAGGCGCTGTGGGCCCCGGAACCCTCCCTGTGTCCTGGCCCTCGGCCTGCGAGCCATCTTTAGCCTTAAGCCTAGTTGGAGCTCACTTTCTGTCCTGACTGCCTTTAGCCGGAGCAGATCCCATCCTCCTGGCATCCCTGTGCCCAGCTCCAGAGGCTGCCTGCTGGTAGCTGATTGCCCGGTGTCTTCTGCAGACTCGGACTCTAGCACAGACATCTTCTGCCACATGATGCCCTTCTACAGCTATGACGTCCCCCATACCTGTGGCCCGGATCCCAAGATCTGCTGCCAGTTTGATTTCAAACGCTTGCCCGGTGGGCGCATCAACTGCCCTTGGAAGGTGCCACCCCGGGCTGTCACAGAGGCAAACGTGGCTGAGAGGTATGTGTTCCCAGGCCTGGGCTGGGCGTGGTAGTGGCATCTTCATGCCGTAGAGGAGTCAGGAGACCTGGCCTCTGGTCTGGGGGGCTTCGATTCTGTATCGGTGCAGTGGGGGGTGGGCTCATGTAGCGAGCTCAGGCCAGTGGCAGAGCGACTCCTTTACTGAGTTCCCCAGGAAAGCTGGAGCGGCTCTAAGCAACCACCTTTTATAGAATGGTTTTGTTTTCCTAATTGAGTGTTTTCCAGCATCCTAACAAGTTGTCAGAGCCGGTTGGCTGACTCAGAAGTGAGTAATTCTCAAAATAGGTGAAGTTCCTTACACCCTTTAGCCTGATGGACTTTCCTTTAGCTCAGGCCCCCTGTCCTGGCCCAGAGTCAGCCAGGATCCTCAGTGTTTCGTGGACCCAGAATCCCATTCAGACACACATTCAGTCCTGCCTCATAGCCCCCAGCCTCTGAGGAAACAGACTTGACATTCTCTCTGAGAACCGTTTGGAGCCCCTAAAGATGTCACTGTTGCTAAAATTAGTCCCCCTGGGAAAGTGCAAATTAAGAAAGTGATCTAAAATGGCTGTTTAAACAGAACTGGACTGGCCTTAACAATATAACGAGTTGAACTGGTTTTCGTGTTGCAATACTCTAATTTCCATGCTGTCCAAAAGGTGAAACATGAGCAAAAGGGAAAGAGTGGTCTTTTGTTTCCAGAATTCAGAACTCTAGATGCTGATTCTAAGCAAGAATCTAGAGCTATAAAAGCATGACTTTTCGGGGGCGCCGGGGGCGGACGCGGGCGGGACTGGGGGTCGGGGCTGCTGTTGGAGGCCGCGCGGGGCATGCGGCGGCGGGGCAGGGGCCGGGGGCCGCGCAGGGCGGCGGCCGGGCGGGCAGGCGGGGCGCGGCGGCGCTGTCCCCGCTGTCCCCGCCCCGCACGCTGCTCGGCCGGGCGGCCGGGAGGGGCGGGCACCGGGGCCCCGCGGAAGCGCGGCTGCGGCGCGCCGTGCCGGCGGCGAGGGGAGGGCGGACGCCCGCCTTCGCCCGAGTGGCTGCCTCGGCGGGCCGCCGCCCCGGGCATGTGAGCGCGGCAGCTGGCCCGCGGGCCCGGAGCGGCGCGGAGGCCGGCCGCACACGGTAACGCGCCGGGCGGGCCTCGGGTGGGGGGCTTCGGCTGCCCGGGCCGCGGCCGGGCTCGGGCGGCGCTTCGGAGGCGTTGCGGCCCGCGGGGCCGACAGAGTCGGGGAAGGCCGCGGCCTGGCGGGGCGGCGGGGAGCGGGCCGCCGGAGCCCCGCCGCAGGTGCCGATCCCCCGCGAGCCAGCGCTCTCCCCGCAGCTGCACCCACTCTGGCCTAGCCCCAGCCTCCAAGGGCTAAAAATACGGCCCGGAGGCTCCCGAGCGGAATCAGACCCGCTAAGTAGGGCACAGCGCGTAGAGGCGGCAGGGCCCCTGGAGCCAGGCTCGGAACCGGCTCCCACCCACGCGCGCAGGCGGCCGGCGGCCTCCTGGTCCTCTGGAGTTGCCCGCGACCGAGCAGCCGTGCCCAGCCCCTCCCTACCCGGCGGACCTTCAGCAGCCGTCGCGGCTGGCTTCCCAGGGGACCCCCTAAATTGCTCCATAAACAGAGGCCGAAAGTTACCTACTGCAGGATTGGAACTAACCCGGGGAAGACATTGGACTTGCTTTATGTTAGAAATATAAACTGCTTCTTTTTAAATTCATTCTGTATTTCTGAATGAGAGAGTTGCTGTGCCAGGCACCGTTTGTAATGAGTCCGATCCAAGGAGAAAGGCTTTCCTGCTGGTGGCTTTGGGCTTCAAATCAAATCAAAACAGATATCAGTTTATTCCTCTGAAAGTAGAAGCTCATGACCAAGGAGCCTGGACACACCTCCGCTGACGGCGTGTCCTGCAGGCGAGCTCGGTGGGGGCTGGTTACAATCAGGAGTCTGTGTGCTGGGAAGCCCGTACTGGGTCTTGTTCTCTGTAGCGTTAGCCTGGGAGAGCGGCCTCGCCACCCTGGGACCTGAGCGGCTGCGGGGAGCATGCAGGCCCCCGCTCAGGCTTGCTGCCTCCTTGTGCTTTCAGTGGCTCCGCGGAGACATTCAGGGCCAGGCTGGGTCGGGACCCACAGCCAGTGCTGGATTTGGGGCTTAGAAGCTTGCTTTTCTTTGGAGTCAGGAAACGGGTGTTCTTTGGGAGCAGCCCTCAGGAGCTCATTGGGGCACTCGGTGGGACGACCACCGAGGGCTTTTGCCTGCTTGGGACTACAGAGGGCGCCCCTCCCGCCAGGTGTGTGGAGGCCAGTATGAAGCTGAAAAAGCAGGTGACAGTGTGTGGGGCAGCCGTCTTCTGTGTGGCGGTCTTCTCGCTCTACCTCATGCTGGACCGAGTGCAGCACGATCCCACCGGACACCAGAATGGGGGGAACTTCCCCCGGGTGAGTCACGCCGCCTGCTAATCTCGGCATGCGCAAGCCACGTGACCTCTGGTTATAGCCCCGCCGGAGAGTCCTGTCAGCCCAGGACACAAACTTCCCATCCCAACTGGCAGATTTTCTACAAACCCAAAGCTCAAAACAATGATGGCAAAAAAGGAGGAGGAAGGAGAAATGGTATTACGAACTGCTGCCCTTCCTCCTGAATTCTTGGCAGATGTTGCTAATGGATTGCAGCGTTTTTTACCAGAGTCCCGTAGATTCCGTGTCGGCAGAGTGCTGTCCAGACAGCCCACACCGAGGGCTGAGCCTGCGAGACGAGCTCTTTGCCGTCCGTAAGCTAGCGAGCGAGGGTGCCCCCAGCCCAAGTGGACGGCGGTCCTCAGTAGTGATTCCCCCGGTTCCTCACCTGACCCCTGGGCTCCTGGTGCTGCCTCCCAGTGGGGAGGGAGGACCCCAGGCAGGCCTCAGGCTGTAGGCCCCGTTCAGAGATCTTCCCTGTGGCGCGAGGGGCCGTGGGTGATCGCGTCCTGGTTTTTCGGCAGAGCCAAATTTCTGTGCTGCAGAACCGCATTGAGCAGCTGGAGCAGCTGCTGGAGGAGAACCACGAGATCATCAGCCACATCAAGGACTCCGTGCTGGAGCTGACAGCCAACGCGGAGGGCCCGCCCGCCCTGCTGCCCTACTACACGGCCAACGGCTCCTGGGTGGTGCCGCCGGATCCCCGGCCCAGCTTCTTGTCCATCTCCCCTCAAGACTGCCAGTTTGCTTTGGGGGGCCAGCACCAGAAGCCAGAGCTGCAGGTAAGAGTCAGAGCTGACGGGGACCCGTGGGGGCCACAGATGGGGCCCTGAGCTCTGCTCCTTCCCCCCAGATGCTGACTGTATCGGAGGAGCTGCCGTTTGACAACGTGGATGGTGGTGTGTGGAAGCAAGGCTTCGACATCTCCTACAGCCCACACGACTGGGATGCGGAAGCCCTGCAGGTGTTCGTGGTGCCCCACTCTCACAATGACCCAGGTGTGATCCAGCGGAGCCCTGGGAGCTGGGGGCCGGAGTGGGCTTTCTGATGGCAAAGGCCGGTGAAGAAGATGCTGGTGTTCTCAGGGGACCCCATGTTGGCTCCCCAGGCTGGATCAAGACCTTTGACAAGTACTACACAGAGCAGACACAGCACATCCTCAATAGCATGGTGTCCAAGCTGCAGGAGGACCCCCGGCGGCGCTTCCTCTGGGCGGAAGTCTCCTTCTTTGCCAAGTGGTGGGACAACATCAATGCCCAAAAGAGAGCGGCAGTGCGAAGGCCAGTGCAGCCAGGAGGCATGGGAGGGCTCGTGCCCAGGCCCTAGTGGGGGAGCCAGAGTGCAGGAAGAGGGAGGGGGAAGCAAGGTGGAGGCGAGGAATGGTGGTGGGGTGGCCAAGGAAGAGAGGCACGGATAGGTTGGAGGGTCCCTGGTGTCAGAAGAAACCAAAGTCCCTTGAGCACGAGTGAGGAGCAGGCATGGGGCCTGGCCCCTGGGGGCACACCCAGGACACCGGGGAGGTGGGCTGGAGGGACGGGAGGTGCATGTCTGTTCTCTGGGTCCTGTGTTCAGGGGAGCTGACCCGTCCTGGCATCCTGGGGTTGGCAGGACTGGGCAAAGGGTCCCTGCCCCATGCTCTGTGTGATTCCTCACCCAGGCTGGTGGGAAATGGGCAGCTAGAGATTGCAACAGGAGGCTGGGTAATGCCGGATGAGGCCAACTCCCATTACTTCGCGCTGATTGACCAGCTCATCGAGGGCCACCAGTGGCTGGAGAAAAACCTTGGTGAGTCTAGGCTTAGGGGTGGGAGGCTGCTGCCATGCCTGAGCTCGAGGACAGCAGGGGGCTGTAAGGCATAGGGGGATTGGCAAGGGTGGTTCCTTCTAGGCTAATTCCACCAGCAGGGGCCTGGTGTGGTGGCAAGATGGTTGCTGGGGCCGCAGTACCGCAGTTCAGGGCCTCTGGCTTCCGTGCCCCTGCGCAGGTATAACCCCGCGCTCTGGCTGGGCGGTGGACCCCTTTGGACACAGCCCCACCATGCCTTACCTGCTGCGCCGCGCCAACCTGACCAGCATGCTGATTCAGAGGGTGCACTATGCCATCAAGAAGCACTTTGCTGCCACCCACAACCTGGAGTTCATGTGGAGGCAGACCTGGGGTAAGGCCAGGTAGGGTGGAGGGGGTCACAGCAGTTCTCCCTGGGGAAGGGCAGGGATATCAGAAATAAGACCCCAGTCCTTCAGAGCAGACCAACAGGACCTGGTGTGGACTGCCAGCACGCCCTCTCCTCCACGTTAGGTCATGATCACACTGACCTCTGGTCTCTGTGGGGCTTGCCACCCATCCTGAGGGTCTGAGCATACCGCCCCCTGGAGGCGCTGTGGGCCCCGGAACCCTCCCTGTGTCCTGGCCCTCGGCCTGCGAGCCATCTTTAGCCTTAAGCCTAGTTGGAGCTCACTTTCTGTCCTGACTGCCTTTAGCCGGAGCAGATCCCATCCTCCTGGCATCCCTGTGCCCAGCTCCAGAGGCTGCCTGCTGGTAGCTGATTGCCCGGTGTCTTCTGCAGACTCGGACTCTAGCACAGACATCTTCTGCCACATGATGCCCTTCTACAGCTATGACGTCCCCCATACCTGTGGCCCGGATCCCAAGATCTGCTGCCAGTTTGATTTCAAACGCTTGCCCGGTGGGCGCATCAACTGCCCTTGGAAGGTGCCACCCCGGGCTGTCACAGAGGCAAACGTGGCTGAGAGGTATGTGTTCCCAGGCCTGGGCTGGGCGTGGTAGTGGCATCTTCATGCCGTAGAGGAGTCAGGAGACCTGGCCTCTGGTCTGGGGGGCTTCGATTCTGTATCGGTGCAGTGGGGGGTGGGCTCATGTAGCGAGCTCAGGCCAGTGGCAGAGCGACTCCTTTACTGAGTTCCCCAGGAAAGCTGGAGCGGCTCTAAGCAACCACCTTTTATAGAATGGTTTTGTTTTCCTAATTGAGTGTTTTCCAGCATCCTAACAAGTTGTCAGAGCCGGTTGGCTGACTCAGAAGTGAGTAATTCTCAAAATAGGTGAAGTTCCTTACACCCTTTAGCCTGATGGACTTTCCTTTAGCTCAGGCCCCCTGTCCTGGCCCAGAGTCAGCCAGGATCCTCAGTGTTTCGTGGACCCAGAATCCCATTCAGACACACATTCAGTCCTGCCTCATAGCCCCCAGCCTCTGAGGAAACAGACTTGACATTCTCTCTGAGAACCGTTTGGAGCCCCTAAAGATGTCACTGTTGCTAAAATTAGTCCCCCTGGGAAAGTGCAAATTAAGAAAGTGATCTAAAATGGCTGTTTAAACAGAACTGGACTGGCCTTAACAATATAACGAGTTGAACTGGTTTTCGTGTTGCAATACTCTAATTTCCATGCTGTCCAAAAGGTGAAACATGAGCAAAAGGGAAAGAGTGGTCTTTTGTTTCCAGAATTCAGAACTCTAGATGCTGATTCTAAGCAAGAATCTAGAGCTATAAAAGCATGACTTTTCTTCAAGCAGCAGCTGCCACCTATAGCTGCCAGCCTAGGTTTGCAGAGAGCAAGTCGTGAGAGTAACTTCATTGTCTCCTTTGGAAGCCGTATGAGCCTGATAGAGTAGGGGAAATGGTATTTAAGGAGTCTTCTCTTGAGAACAAAATAAAAACATACAAGCTGGGCCAGCGTGGTTAAGTAGATTAGTGGCTGATTGAACTGTGACATCCGTAACATGCCAGTTACCAGGCTGGTTTGAAATGAGAAAGGGGCTTTTGTGGTCAAATCTGCCGTGCTCTTGCTGCTGATTTTACCAGCAACTTGGGTGAACAGGAAAATAACAGACCTGTATATATAGTTCCTGCTGCGTTTCAGGCATTATTCAAGTGTTTAGCACATATAAATTTACTTAGCTCTTTTTTATTCTCATGACGTTATGCTGGTAGGCACTGACGTCCCCTTCCTTTTATAGAAACTGAAGCCCAGGGAGGCTGAGTGACTTGCCCAGGGTCACGCAGCCAGTGCGTGTGGAGCTGGCGCTGGGGTTCTCTGGCACCCGAGCCTGTGCTCTTCACTCCAGTGCTGTGCTGTGTTATTAACTAGGGGGAAGAATGAAGCTGGAGCGTCAGAATCAGGGCCCCAAAGGACTTCAACAGGTTGCATGTGATGGGGGTCAAATCTAACCAGATAAGCTGTCTTAGATATAAATGGAAGTTTCTATGCTTAGCTTTGGAAAACAGAATAGGAAAGTTTGGGTGGAGGAGAAAAGACCTCACTGAGTCACATGCCTGGAAAACACGGTGGCTGACAGTGCTGTAGGGTGACAGTGGGGCTGCCAAACGTGCCCTTGGAAAGGCACCCTGCTCCCGTGGAAAAAGCGGGCAGGCTCTGGGGGGGGTGGTCCGGCCGCCTCGGCAGGTCCACCCACCCTCTCACCCCGGTGTCCTCCTCTGGGCCCCTCGCTCCCTCTAAGGGACCCTGACAGATGGGGTGCTCAGGGAGCTGCCCCTGAGCAGATTCTACACTAAAGCAGTTTAGAAGAGTGAGGGAGGCTGGGGTCGCAGAGCCTGCAGGGAAAGCCCAGGGGGTGGGCACATCCTCGGTGTGTGCAGGACAGTCCCGGGCAGCGCCATTTGATTTGTTCCGTGTGGCGTCCAAGGTCAGAACTGCAGTTGGGACTGAAGCCACAAGTTGCAGCCTAGCGTGGGAAGAAGTGGTTGTCAGAATCAGAGGACCAGGAGGGGTCCGCCCGCTGGACGGGGGTGATGCAGAGGGGCGGCTGCCGGCCGGCCCTGCCCGGGACCCTGCGCCCAAGGCTTCAGCGGGGCCCGCGGCCTCTCCCGCTGCAGAGCCGCCCTGCTCCTGGACCAGTACCGGAAGAAGTCCCGGCTCTTCCGCAGCAACGTGCTGCTGGTGCCTCTGGGCGACGACTTCCGATACGACAAGCCCCAGGAGTGGGATGCCCAGTTCCTCAACTACCAGCGGCTCTTCGACTTCCTCAACAGCCAGCCCGACCTCCACGTGCAGGTCCGAGGGGCGCAGGGGGCTCGGCCACGCCGCAGTCAGTCAGCCCCTCCCGCGGGGTTCTGGGCTCCCCGTCACCCCCTCCGCCCCCAACGCAGGGCCCTGTTCTGACACTGGGGTGCGGTCTCCCTTGTAGGCTGGAATTCCTCCCCGGGCTCCCCCAGCGTCTGGGTGGGATGGCGCCTGCCCTGCACCGGCAGGATCCCCGCACCCGAGCCCCTGCTGCAGCACCGGCCGTGGTTCCCAGCAGACTCAGAGCTGACAGAAGCGGGGTTTTGGGGTCCCCACAGGCCCAGTTCGGCACCCTCTCTGACTATTTCGACGCTCTGTACAAGAGGACAGGGGTGGAGCCTGGGGCCCGGCCGCCAGGCTTCCCCGTGCTGAGCGGGGATTTCTTCTCCTACGCGGACCGAGAGGACCACTACTGGACCGGGTATTACACTTCCCGGCCTTTCTACAAGAGCCTGGACCGCGTCCTGGAAGCCCACCTGCGGTGAGACCAGCCCCGCTGCTGGAGGGGACGGAGGAAGCTCCTGGGCTTCCGGAGGGGCTGGACTGGCCACGAAGAGGTGGGAAGGAGGGGCGGGCTCGCAGAGCGGGTGAGCCGCGGCAGCGTGTGGGCACAGCTGGCTTCTCTCTCCGGGCAGGGGGGCAGAGATTCTGTACAGCCTGGCTGTGGCCCACGCCCGCCGCTCTGGACTGGCCAGCCAGTACCCGCTCTCCAACTTCGCCCTCCTGACAGAAGCACGGCGCACGCTGGGGCTCTTCCAGCACCACGACGCCATCACCGGCACGGCCAAGGAGGCGGTGGTGGTGGACTATGGGGTCAGGTGGGAGCCCTCTCCTGCCCTCGCCCCTGCCCGCTGGCCCAGAGAAGGGACGTGCTGGCGGCCAGCGGGCGGGCCCAGCAGGAGCTCACTCTGGTCTCCTCCACGGCCCCTCCCCTGCCCCCAGGCTCCTGCGCTCCCTGGTCAGCCTGAAGCAGGTCATCATTCATGCAGCTCACTACCTGGTGCTGGCGGACAAGGAGACCTACCACTTTGACCCGGAGGCGCCCTTCCTCCAGATGGTGAGCCCACTCCCGCACCTGCTAGGGGCCGCTCTGTGTGCGGCGCCCTCCTGAGAGTCGTGCCACGAGGGTGCTGCTCTTCTCCTTACGCATCCTGGGCTGAGAGGTCTGCACCCCGTGCAGCTGGCGGTCCACATCCAGTTGGGGCTGGTTGGGAGGAGGCAAGACTGAGCCAGGCCGAGCCCCATGATGGTTCTTCCCTCCCTGCCCACTTATTCCAGGATGACACCCGCTTAAATCATGATGCCCTGCCCGAGCGCACCGTGATCCACCTGCAGTCGTCACCCAGGTGAGCCAGGCCAGGTGCAAAGGCAAAGCTGCTCCCTGCTTTTGGTGCCCCTGCAGCCCCACAACTGCTGGACCACCATAGGACCTGGCCTGGCCGCTGTTCCTGCTTGCATTGCCCGGGAACAGGGGCCCCTCAGGTGAGCCTGCCTCCCGCACACAGGTACGTGGTACTGTTCAACCCGCTGGATCAGGAGCGGCTCAGCGTGGTGTCCCTGCTCGTCAGCTCGCCGCTGGTCCGTGTCCTCTCGGAGGAGGGCCAGCCCCTGGCTGTGCAGATCAGCGCACGCTGGAGCTCTGCCACTGACATGGTCCCTGACGTCTACCAGGTGAGGCGGGGCCCAGCAGGGGTCCCCGGCCCCTCCCCAGGGCCTCACTCTGCCCCTTGACACCAGCTTCCCACCCTCCCTGCTTGTGGCCCTGCTGACTCCCTGTCAGGTTGGGAGTCGCCCAGCTGACAGTCACTCTTGGGGTTTGTGTCTGTCCTTGAGGGCGAAGTTTGGTAGGATGATGATAGTAGGAAGGGAGGTGGTGTTGCCTGTCATTCATCCATGTAACACATATTCACTGAAAGCTTGATGCGTATTTACCATTTCATAGTTTTTCAAATATCATTTGAGACTCATAAAAATCTGACAAGGGGTTTTTATGTAATATCACTTCCATGTACAGAAGGGACAGAGGCCCCAGTTGGTGCAGGGATTTTCACGGGCCCCCTCAGCATACAAATGTCCCGGGACCGGAGCCCCAGGCCGTGCTGTGGCAGGGCGTCCTCACCCCTCCCGTGTCAGCAGGTGTCCGTGCCCGTCCGCCTGCCAGCCCTGGGCCTTGGTGTGCTGCAGCTGCAGCTGGGCCTGGACGGGCACCACACCCTGCCCTCCTCCGTGCGCGTCTACCTGCATGGCCGCCAGCTGTCCGTCAGCAGGCACGAGGCATTTCCTCTGCGCATCGTTGACTCTGGCACCAGCGACTTTGCCCTCAGCAACCGCTACATGCAGGTCTGGTTCTCAGGCCTTACCGGGCTCCTCAAGGTAAAGGCCAGGGTGGGAACCAGGCCAGACGGGGCGTGTGTGTCAGGGATGTGCGGCACTGCCCCGGGCCAGTGAGCACGCTGCCTTCTGACGGGTGGTGGACCCGGGAGTCTTGGCTCCGAGCCTGCAGCGTGGGGAAGCTGGGTTCGGCTCCTTGGGGAAGTTCATACGCGCCCTCCCAGGGGGCAGGCCTGACGTGCTGGTGTGGGGCCAGGGGTCAGGGCTGTGTTTTTTGGCAGAGCATCCGAAGGGTAGACGAGGAGCAGGAGCAGCGGGTGGACATGGAGTTCCTTGTCTATGGCACCCGCACGTCCAAAGACAAGAGTGGAGCCTACCTCTTCCTGCCCGATGGCGAGGCCCAGGTACCCTATGGCACGCCGTCCCCAGCAGGCTCTGGGCTGCCTCAGGAGTGCAGGGTGCAGGGAGACATGTGGCCCGAGGCAACGAGGACGGCCCGGGCCTTCCTCCAGGGTGATCCCACCTGCCATGGGGCCGTGCCTGGGCCACCACTGGGGGTTGGGGGGCCGAGGAACCCAGCCAGGGGTCTCCGCCCGGAGCCTGCTGGGAGTCCATGCATCTGCCCAACTCCGGGCTGGTACCTCCCTGCTTTGCTCTCTGTGCTGCGGCTTCAGCTGCCACCTGCTCTTTCCCCAGCCCTACGTCCCCAAGGATCCCCCTGTGCTGCGTGTCACCGAAGGCCCTTTCTTCTCCGAGGTGGTGGCGTACTACGAGCACGTTCACCAGGTGGTCCGGCTTTATAACCTGCCAGGTGAGGAAGGTCAGAACAGAGGTGTGGGCCCCTTAGGCTGAGACACGCTCTCCCCTCTGCCCTTATGCGCTCACACGTCCGTTCCCAGCCAGCGCGCCGAGGTGGGAGTGACGCTGGCTCTGTTGGGGGACGTGTGGTCCCGAAGTGTTGGACGCTGCCCAGGGATGGGACGTGGCCTCTCCCAGCCCAGGCTCCCGGGCTGCAGCTCATCCTCACACTCTCAACGCTCCTTCTTTGTCCCTGGGCCCAGGGGTGGAAGGACTGTCCCTGGACATGGCGTCCCTGGTGGACATCCGGGACTATGTCAATAAGGAGCTGGCCCTGCGCATCCACACAGACATTGACAGCCAGGCCACCTTCTTCACAGACCACAATGGCTTTCAGGTGATCTGCAGGGCCCTGGAGACCCCATGGAGCAGAACGTGGACTGTGTTTTTTACCTCCGTCCCAGGCACAGGGGGGCTGGGGGGAGGGTGGTCTGCCCACAGGGAGATCAGGGACTCCTTCAGACCGGGGCCCCTTGGTGCCCCAACGGTGCGCAGATGCCCTTGACCCACTGGCCTTGGCCCTGCAGGTGCAGCCCAGACGGTATCTGAAGAAGCTGCCCCTGCAGGCCAACTTCTACCCCATGCCAGTCATGGCCTACATCCAGGACATGCAGAACCGCCTCACGCTGCACACTGCGCAGGCCCTCGGCGTCTCCAGCCTCCGTGACGGTGAGTGGGGAACAGGAGCTGTGCCGAGTAAGACAAGGCAAAGAAGCCTGTGCCTGGCCCCGAGGCCTCTCCTCTCTGCCTCTCTCTCCAGTGTGCACTGGAGGAAGGCAGGCACCTGTGACCTCTGCCCTGGGGCAGGGCAGCTCAGGAGGCCCCTGGGGGGGGGGTCCCCTCAGGAAGCATCAGGGCACTGGAAGGTGATTCTCAAATGAGGTGTGCAACCTGCTCCTCCTGGCCAAGGACGGGAGTTGGGACAGGTGGGAAGGTGCAATAGTTGATGTAAGGAAATACGTAGCAAAGGAGAAAAGTATGTACTGTTTCCCTACTAGTGATCATTAGAAGAGAGAATAACATTCTTAAGGGTCATAACAAGCCCTGGGCTAGAGCTGTTCGTGTGGACAAGCCCAGGCAGCCTCCACGACTTCAGGGCTAAGCGGTCAGTTTGTACTTCACGGTCTCTGAGGCCTTCAGGTCTGTGTGTTTGGGAGGGAGCCTGTGTGCAGGGCTGAGCGTAGGGCGTCCGGCGGAGGCTGACTACCTGCGGGAAGGAGTGTGGCTCTGCTGCCCCTCGGCCCAGGCCCCCCAGCTCTAGAACTCCCCTGTGGGTCCGTCTCTCCACGCTATCCACTCCTGGCTGAGCCCAGCATCCCTCCAGGCTGTTTGCCCTTCGGGACAGTGTGCTGAGAAATGACCTGTGTGGGCAAGGGGTCCGTTTTAGGATTTTCAGATACCCTTCTGTGATTGCTCAGAGTGAAAAGTCAGGAACCACAGAAGTCAGAATCAGGGCTGGGGAGAGGGCAGGAGGGAAAGGCCATCTGTGGGGGCTCCCCTCTAGAGATTCCTATAAAAACCAGGTGCAGGGAAAAATTGCCGTCCCAACATATGCCAGCTTTGCAGTGAGCCCTGCTCCCAGCATATTAAAAAGAGAAAGCAAAGGTGATTCTCTGCCGTCTCTCCTTCCCAGGGAAACCCTAGTGACCCTCACGGAGCCTCTGGGAGGTGTGCCATCTGGCTGTCCTCTCTGTAGCCCTCCCACTGACAGAGGAGGCAGGCAGGCCTGGAGGGTGTGCCCGTGTAGAACAAGGGCAGGAGAGCGTGTGTTCTAGTCACAGTCAAACCTGCCCAGCCTGAGAAGCCCGTGTAGATGCGGCTCCCCACTCGAGTCCTGGGCAGGGGCGGTGAACCGCCAGGGCGGCCTCCTGCTGCCTCCTGAAGCCAGCCTCCCCCACCCCCCATCCCCTCTAGCCCAAGGCTCGGGGTCTTCTCTCCTGAGGCACTCGGCTGCCGGCTCCCACGGCCTTCCCCTCAGGGCCTGCGGTTGGGCTCTTCTTCCAAAGGTCGGCATCGGCTTGGGGTGGGTGGGTGGCAGGCCAGGGCTCACAGTGACCTTCCCCAGGCCAGCTGGAGGTGATCTTGGACCGGCGGCTGATGCAGGATGACAACCGGGGCCTGGGCCAGGGGCTCAAGGACAACAAGAGAACCTGCAACCGTTTCCGCCTCCTGCTGGAACGGCGGACGCCCAGCAGGGAGGTAAGCCCTGGGCCTGCCTTCTGGGGAGCTGGTCAGGCGAGTCCCTGTGGGTGGCCCTGGGGCTGCAGCCCAGAGCCTAGGGAGCAGAGCTAGAGGCTGGTGAGGGGTAGAGAGCAGGGCTCCGTTGCCCGGTGGGGGGAGTGGGTCTGACGCTTCGCTGCTCCATCTCATGCAGCCTGGCCCCTCCCTCTCCCATAGCACCCTGTCGCCTGTGCCCCTTCATGCTCATCTCCCGCCTTCCTCGCTGCCCCCTTCCCTCCCGCCCCCTGTTCTCTAACCCTCTCTACCCAAGCCCTGCCCATCTCATGGCTTTCTTTGCCCCCACCAGCCTGGCTGTTTCTCCAAACTGACAGCCACACTTAGGGGCTTGATCTTTCACAGCAACAGGAGCAATAGCCAAGAGGTAAGGGCCGGCATGGTGCTGAGCTCAGAGCAGTACAGAGAGGTAAGGGCCGGCAGTGGTGCTGAGCTCAGAGCAGTACAGAGAGGTAAGGGCCGGCAGTGGTGCTGAGCTCAGAGCAGTACAGAGAGGTAAGGGCCGGCAGTGGTGCTGAGCTCAGAGCAGTACAGAGAGGTAAGGGCCGGCATGGTGCTGAGCTAGTATTAGCAAGTTGTACCTGGAGTTGGAGCCTGTAGGTGACTGAGCCTGCAGAGCCCATGGCCCGTCATCCACTCACCAAACGATGCTAAGCATCCCTGGTGCTTTACAGCCTGAGAGGGACACAAATGCCTAAGACACTGACCCCCTCTCTCGGAGTTTATTTATGAGTAGGGGTGGGGGATAAGCAGTACGTGTACTTGTAAAAATACCAGGTAGAAGATGGTATGTCTACAGATCATACTGGTCCACTGAGGAGCAAAAGAACATGGTGGGCCAAGGGGATCAAGGACAGCTCCCTGGAGGAGGTGTCATCCAAACGCTGCTTTGAGGAATGACAAGTCTGATTTAAACACACAAACCAAGGCACAGGGTGGAAGGCAGGAAAGACAACACGAATGGATAATAGGAGTGAGTGCACTCAGCTAGCCGAGTGCTGCCCATCCAGTGTGGTTGCCACTAGCCCCAAGTGGCTGTTCAAACTAATGAAAACCGAGCGCAATGACAAGTTCAGTTCCTTGTTCACTCAAGTGGCTGGTAGCCGCTGCATTAGATGGAGCAGGTCGAGTGTAGTTTCACTATTACAGAAAGTCCTGTTGGCCTGTGCTGGGCAGGGTAGCTTGGGGCAGACTGTAGGGCCCGAATGCCTGGCTGGAGAGTCCTGACCCTATCCTGGGGGCCAGTGAGGGACCTGAGCAGGGAGGGACCCTGTCAGGACTGCCCGAGCATGTCACTCTAACAGCAGGGACACTGGACTCTTGATGCCGGAAGTGGGGCTTGAACTAAGCCGCGGGAGGGAGAAGTTGGGGAGGATGTGGATTGGAGATGAAGGCAGAGGAAGGGAGGGTCTCTGGGCAGCTGGAAGGAGGGTGGTGCTAGGGACAGAACTCCAGAACACGGACACGTAGCTGCCTTGGCTGAGGTTCGGCCAGGCCTGTGAGCATGACGTCTGGGTCAGCCATCTGAGTCGTCGTCCTCGGTCATGGGCCCGAGAGCCAGGCCTGGAGTCCTTCCTCCGCCGGAGGCCCACCCGTGGCGGAGCACACACTGGCCTGTCGGCCGTTCTCTCCCTTACTGAGACCTGCTCATGGGCGTGTGGCTCCTGACGGTGCTCTGGAAGCAAAGAACCCAAAGAAGCAGAGGAGAGGTGGCCTCGGGGAATAGCCCTTTCTAAGCTGCATGAGACGGGAAGCGGCCACACTTGAAGGGTCCTGGAGCCGGGCACCCCTTGCGTCCAGGCTCATCAGGGAAGCTCTTCCTAAGGGAACTGACCGGACGTGCTTTTGTCCTCTCCTGCGCCCCAGTTCTGCTGCTCACCCCCATCTCGGGCCAATCTTGCAGGTCCCAGGTGGCCCTTCTACCAGCTACCCGTCCCTCCTCAGCCACCTGACCTCCATGTACCTGAGTGCCCCAGAGCTTGCCCTGCCCGTGGCCAGGAGGCGGCTCCCAGGCCCCGGCCTGCGCTCCTTCCATCCTCTGGCTTCCTCACTGCCCTGCGACTTCCACCTGCTCAACCTGCGTGCGCTCCAGGCCCAGGTGAGGACCGCCCTGCTCTGTACCTGCAGGCCCGGACCCTGGCCTCTCCTCACCCACCTCCTGCCCATCCCAGCACTGCCGCACCTGTGGGCTGAAGGGCCGCCCCCCACTGCCCTTGTCCGTCTGTCCTCCAGGACGATAGCTCGCCCTCTGCAGAAACTGCGCTCATCTTACACCGCAAGGGTTTCGACTGTGGCCTTGAGGCCAAGAACTTGGGCTTCAACTGCACCACGAGCCAAGGCCAGGTGAGCAGGGCCCGTGCGGGCAGAGCCCTTGTGCGAGGGGGGCAGGGAAGTAGAGCTCCTGAGGCCGGGCAGGGGGGCAGGTCCAGACGAGGCAGTTAACTGGAGAACGTCTCCAAGTGGGGCCTCTGGGAAGCAAAGTGGGAAACAGAAGGAGTGTGGGAAAGGCACCGCACTGCTGATGGGTAAGTTCTGTTCGCACTTAGGCCGGCGCCCATAAATGCTTCCCTGTGCCCGACGCTTGCTGGGCACCAGGGATTCACAGGTCACCCAAACTATGGTTCCTGTCCTTGTAGAACTCACTGCTGAGTGCCTGGCTCCTGCCCTAGGGGCCATGCCCAGGCCTGGGGCTGAGCACATCTCAGCGAGCCCCCTGAGATGCAAGCCTGCATGTTGCCCCTGCAGGGGCCTCTCAGAGGGAGGCTGCATTCCTGAGCACGTCAGCACCAGCCCAGCCCTGCACCGTCTCTCCTCCCCGCAGGTGGCCCTGGGGAGCCTGTTCCGTGGCCTGGATGTGGGCTCCCTGCAGCCAACCTCCTTGACATTACTATACCCGCTGGCCTCGCCGTCCAACAGCACGGACATCTACCTGGAGCCCATGGAGATCGCCACCTTCCGCCTCCGCTTGAGCTAGGGCTTCGTGTGCCCTGAGACGAAGGTCATCCACAGGGGCTGGTTCTCTACCCGTTAAGGTTGGGTTGGACAAGCCGCGCCGGCTGTCCCGTCCCGATCTACCTCTCAGAACTGTGATAGACTCAGCTCTGCCCTCGCTTTCCGTGTACTGTCGCTTCTGTGTTCAGGGGCAGCCCACACCCCAGCATTGGGTAGATAGGGTGGTGACTAGTGAGACCAAAGGGAGAAGGCCCTCGGCCAGAACAGCCAGTGCCGGCCTCCGCTTTGGGCTGCGAGTGGCCACCCAGTCGGGTCAAGCACCCATCCTTTTCCCAAATGGGATGGTGACGCAGGGACGGAAGAGGTAGGGGAGGCTGAGTGGGAAACAGTCCAGCGTCTGGGCCACTGTAGGCGAGAGCTGGCTCTAGGGGCATCCTGTGGTCTCGCAGGGACTGCACGGCCTGGTGCGATCAGAAGGGAGCGACGGCTAGGAGGGGAAGGGGACCCAGAGCCAGTGCTGTGGGGGAGTAGAAGGAATTGTGCCTTCTGGGATGGCCCCATCTAACTGCTCTCCGACCTGCACGCCCTGGCTGGGGGCTGCGGTGCCGTGGGAAGGACTCACTAGAGACTGCATCATGGCCAGAGGTCATAGGCCACTTCGGGTACCAAAACCTCCGTCTCACACTGGGTTTCACACTTGGTCTGTGTGTGGGCTGTGGGGTCGCGGCAGGGACGTGGAGGCCTCCATCTGTGTGACTCCTGTACTCGGGACGCCCCCTTCCCTTCATGGGGATGTTTAGTCTGGCAAACTTCCTTTCTCTGGAAAGAAAGCGAGGCCTCCAGGACTCCATGTGCGCAGGCAACTGGAGAAGGCCTTCAGCACTGCCCGCTAGTCTGGACGCCCTCCCCTGGAAGCATGTGACCCCTGGCACGCCGAGGGACTAGGGACACGCCGAGGAAATCGCCAGGCAGTGGGGCTGCCCATCAGGCTTCATTTCAGCTTTGATTAAGAGAAAAATGTATCATGGTCTCCATAGATGCTGAAACAATATTTGGTAAAATTTAAAATCTATCCCTTATTAAAACTCTTAGTAAGTTAAGGTTAGAAAGAAATATCCTAATTGAGATAAAGGCCTCTGTCAGAAACCAACAGTTAATGGCATTCTGAAGAGTCAGACACCACAGGCATTCCCATCAAAGTCAGAAACTAGCCCAGGACATGGAGTTATTAGCAGTGTCCTGGCACACTGACCACCTGCGAGGGCAGGCGAGGAAGGTGAGGAAGAGTGACAGCTGTTATTTTTTGATGCCGAACAGCTAACCTATAAAATATAAGAGAGTCAGTGAAGGCCTCCTAGGAGTGTTCTGCAAGTTGACCCAAATGGTCCAAACCATGTTCCTGTAAAAATGTTGGTTCTTTCCAAATCAGCCCGTAAATTCGGTGAATTCCAGTGAGGTGGGATCCTTTTTGGAATTTGACAGGTTCTCAAGTTCATTTGGAGGAGTAAACATTGAAAACACTAGGAGAATCTGAATGATAGTGGGCTGGGGTGGTGGTGCTGAGGCGGGTAGAAGGCTCTGTCCTAGAGGAGAGGATCTCAGACCATGCGTTCGGAAGGTGTGACCAGGGGTGCAGCCAGCCAGCCAGCCAGCGGAACAAGGGAGTGCCCAGCAGCAGACCCAGGTGCGTGAGAATTTAGTATAAGATAAAAGGCATATTTTAAGTGGGGCAAAAGATGGGTTATTTAATAAATAGTCGGTTGAGACAATTAGCCATCTATTAAAGTAAGAGTGAGATCTCTACCTCACAGTTTCCCCAAAAATTAGGTCCACAGGGGAAAAAAACCCTACAAAATTACTGAAGAAAATACAGAATATTTTTATACCTCTGGTGTGGGAAGGTCTATTCTAAACGTAACATGAAACCTTAGAGATACATAAGGGAAAAGAGAAACACATTTCGCTACACAAGAACAGTGAAAGTTTCTGTGTGATGGAAAACATCAAGGCTAAAATACAAATGACAGATTTGGGAAAATATACTTGCTGCACTTAAAAAATTGGTGAGGATAATTACTTTAGGAGAAAAACTTGCTTTGGGGTCCTTCGAGAAAGTCACCAAGGCCTGCTAAGCAGCTCCCTACAGGTTCAAGAGTGACACAGCTGAGCTCTTCCAGGTCACCCGGGGTTACTGCTGCCAACAGCAGGCCAGGGCACGTGGAATCCTGTCTGTGTCACAGTGGAAGAAATAAGATTATCAGTGTGAAGTGCTCAGCATAGTGCCTGGTACATCTGAGAGCTCAATAAGTATGAGCCATCATCATATTAGTAAAAGATGCTAAGCAATTATAGCAGGTGTTATTTGCTGTATAATTTGTAATCAAGTGGTAAGGGAGAATCTGAACCCTTAGAAAATTAGCCGAATAAAGGCTATTACCGTTGGAGATCTTAGCTATGGAATGAAATTATTCATCTGCCAGGAACTGTAATGTTTAACCCTAAACCACTTATGGCAGCATTGCTCAGGGTGTGGTCCAGAATCCCCAGAATTACTTGCTGAAAGTGCAGCCGTCCAGCCTCTCCGGACTGTGGGGCTTGTAGTCCGTTGGCCCGGATGCTGGGATGAGGACTTGAGGGGCAGAGCCATAGCTCCCTGAGGCTGGCAGGTGACAAGAGCAGGAAACCAAACCTTCCTTGTGCGTGGGGGGAAAGCAGATTCCTGGGCGCAGCCCGATGAGCCAGTCGGGGCAGGAGCCAAAGAATCTGCCTCTTTAACAAGCTGCCAGGTGACTCTCTTGCACACGTAATTTGGGAATGGGCCTATGATTTTAAGGCAAGCAGCAACCCTCTACCATGGGGCTCTGGCACAGAGGCCTCACAGTTTGGAGGGTTCCAATCATAACTGGAACCAGAACAAGACACAGAAGCAACTTCAGCTGCTGGAAACGGATAGAGTTCTGTTGCTTCCTGCACCTTCCAACCGCTTAGAACAATCCTGCTTCTGTGAAGAAGGGAGGGCGGACGGAAGCACAGAGAGAAAGGCAGACTCCCAACTATAAAGAACTGGGTCCTCCCACGCAGGGGGAGCCAGGCCCAGACAGGCTCTGATGTGCCTTGCTTGGGGTGTGGTCATAGTAACCTTGGACACCCATGTAGGAAGAGTGACATCTTTAACATGAAATTGCCCTGTTTACACATGCTCGCTGTAGTTTAGCTAACCACACTGCACTCGCACACCCACAGGGAAAACCTGTCTGGGTGGTGGGAATGAGGCTTACCACCCAAACTAGAGATCTCAACAACATCTTTGTTTCTCTCTAACAAAACTGTGTACAAACAACACACCTGATGGGGCAATTCTTACAGTGATAAGATGATAATGGAGAGACCAGACCCTTCAAAACAAACCTGTCTTAATCAGGGTCAGTGGGAAGTAAGCTCAGATCCTAATAGTTGCCAGGACAAGTGTGTCTGCAGAGAGCCTGCACCCGTCTGGGCTCCTGACTTTGGAGCCCTCCACTTGAGAATAACCCTGAACTGAATGCCACCTCTATTAGGTAGTCTAGGCACGTGAATCCTAAATGGGGTCGGGGATGAGGGCTTCTTGGCATTTGGCATGTGACAGGCTTGAAGATTTAAGACAAAGCTCAGGTGTGGAAGCCTTGAGAAGCTGTCTTGGTGGAGGAGGAAAGCCCGGGGCTCCCTTGCCAGCGGGCCTGGGGGCTTGAATTCAAACTACAGGAGAAACCGGCACTGTTGCCGCCTCGACTCCTAATGCCTAAGAATGCTTCATGAAGTAGTAAAAATGGAAAAGCATAGTCATACTTAAAACAAGGGGAAATCTCCTCGGACCAAGAATGGAGAGAACGGCTACATCCGAGAGCAGATGTGAGGCTTCGCAGCTCCAGAGAAAGCCCAGTGAAGGATGGTGGCACTGGGTCTTCAAAGTCTACGTGGGACAAACTGGTAACCAAGAAAATGCTAGGTCACCATGAAACTAATGTAATATTATGCAATAGTGCACATCAACTATATGTCAATTAAAAAAAAAACTAGGAATGTCCAGACTGGAGCCAGACTGAGTGAGGAGCAGAGGAAAGGAAGGCAAAAGCCTGCGAACAAAACCGTCACAGAGTGTGAGCAGCCTAAAATGAGGCTTTATGGAAATACACATTTGGAAGAGACGCTGGATTCGATGCAAATGATAGGAAAACGGTGTGGGTTTGGAAAACGGAACTGAGGAATCACTTGAACACATCCCAGACATACCAGGGAAATGTTCTCGGCAAAAGAGAAGCCGAGAGCTGAAGGACAGACTGAGAAGCATCAACCTAAGCGTTTGACTGCAGTTTTAGGAGAAACTAAGAACAGAGAAGAGGGGGACAGTCACCAAGAAAATGGGTGCATTTTTCAGAAATGAATGATGTGGGTCCTCAGAATGAAAGAGCTGGTTAAAGCCTCACCTAGATATTCTTCTGCAAATAAAACCCTAAAAACCAACCAGCAAGAAAATACAAAAGGAAAGGCAGTCAGAGCGATAGCAGGCATTTAGTGAACAACCAGAGGTACCTGGAGTCTGTGAAATGCTACATTCAGACCGGAGGAAATGACCATCCACTTTGAATTTGGTGTCAGCTACATTGTCATTGAGGAGTGAGGGGGAAATGAGGTTTTCAAAAATGCAAAAACTAATAGTTTGCAGTGTACAAGACTTCAGTGGAAGAGAGGTGCTTCAGTAAAAATTGATCTGGGGTGTATAGACAGATGGAGGGTATACCTAATAAGTTTTGGCTAAAACTATCATATTTTACAGTTTACAAAGAGGCAGGAATTAAAATTCTAGGGAGCAATAATGTTAGGCACTATTCCAGGGGTGATTCTTGTTCAGAAGAAATATAAGCACACCTCATGTTACATACAAAGAAACATGAGAAAAGTTGGAAGCAAAATCTGACTATCAAAGAGGGAATGCCTACAGAAAATACTGTCCAGTCACATAATGGGATACTATAAAGCAGTTTAAAGGAGTGATCGAAACATTTACATGTACCAAAATTAATAAATCTCAAAAACACTGGTAAGGGAAAAGGAAGTTGCAAAATGGCACATACTTATGACATTAAAATACTCAAAAACAAGTATTTCAAAGACAGTCTTTTCAACAAATGGTGTTGGGAAAACTGGACATCCACAAGCAAAAGAATGAAGCTGGCTGCTTACCTTACACCCTATAAAAACTCAAAATGGATCAAAGACCCAAATGTAAGAGCTAAAACTATAAAATTCTTAGAAGACAACATAAGGAGATCTTCATGACATTGAATTTGGCAATGATTTCTTAGATAAGATACCAAAAGAAAAACTGGACTACATCAAAATGTAAAACTTCAAAAGAGGGCACAACAGAGTGAAAGGCAACCCACAGAATGAAAGAAAATACTTACAAATCATATGTTGATATGTTAATATCCAGTATATAAAGAATTTCACAACTCAACAAAAACTAAAAAATGGGAAAAGGACTTGAATAGACATTTCTCCAGAGAAGATACACAAATGGCCAAAAGGCTCTTGAAAAGAGGTTCAACATCACTAATCAGTAGGGAAATGCTATCAAAACCACAATGAGATACCACTTCATACCCACTGTATGACAATACAAAGAAAAAGAAAACAGAAAATAGTAAGTGCTGACAAGGATGTGAAGAAACTGGAACCCTTGTGCATTGCTGGTGGGAATGAATAATGGTACAACTGCTGTGGAAAACACTATGGCAGTCCCTCCGAAAATGAAAAATAGAGTTATTATGACCCAGAAATTCCACATTTGGGTACATACCCAGAATTGAGAGCAGGGACTTGAAGACCTATCTGTACACCCATGTTCATGGCAGCATTAATCAGAACAGCCAGAAGGTGGACACTGCCTAAGTGTCTACTGACTTTTGAATGAAGAAACAAAATGTGTATATAAATTCACAATGGAACATTACTCAGCCTTAAAATTCTGACCCATGCTACAATATGGATAAATCTTGAAGACATGCTGAATGAACTTAGCCAGTCACAAAAGAACAAATATTCGATGGGATTCTGCTTATAACAGGCACCTAGCAGTGGTCAAATTCACAAGAGACTGAAAGTAGAATGGTAGTTGCCAGGGATCAGGGGAAAGGAGAGTTCAACTATTTAAGAGGACAGAGTAGTTTCAGTTTTGCAAGAGGAAAAGTTCTGGAAATGGATGGTGATGGCTGCACAACAATGTGAATGTACCTCTTGCCACTAAACTACACTTAAAAATGGTTAAAATGATACAATTTTGTGCAATATATTTTCCCACAATTTAGAAAAAAAATTTTAAACAAATACTATGTGTTCACAAAAAAATCTATGAATTTACAAAAGTATAGCAATTGACTGGAAATAGACACCCAGAATTTATAACACTGTGGAAGGGGACACTGAAATATGGGGATGGGGGTCAAAGGACTTCAGAGTATATATATATTTAAATTAAGGTATCATTAATATACACTCTTATGAAGGTTTCACATGAAAAATTGTGGTTACTACATTCACCCATATTATCAAGTCCCCCCCATACTGCAATGCAGTCACTGTCCATCAGTGTAATAAGATGCCAGAGTCACTACTTGTCTTCTCTGTGCTACATTCAGTGTATATATTTTATAAGAAGATTTGATGCACATATGACAAAAAGGTAAATTCTGAGTGGGAAGACTGATGCTTGTTATATTAATCACTATGCCTTTATGTAAATATAGACATGTTATTTTGAAAAAGTTATCAGAAAAAAAAATACAAATATGGTATTAAGAAAACAGGGACGTTAGAAGAGGAAAAGAAAACCTAGAAACCTGGCAGATCCCGGGCTCTCACTGTAACAGCTGTCAGGACAATCAGACCCTCAGCATGGCCAGGAATCTTGGTTGTTCTAATTCTAGGCCAGAAACCAAACTTTTGGTTCCCAGCCCAGCAACAGCTGAACGAATCATACATGTAAATTATGAGGTGCCCTATCATCACAGACTTATGTGTATTACAGTTAATGTATTAAATACTTCCTGCTGTTGGTGACTGTGGTTATACAGCATTTCTTGTCTAAAGAGTAGTTAGGGGTGATAGGGCATCAGGTCAGCAGGTTAATCTCAAGTTGTTCAGGGAAAAATGTTATCCTGTACTTCCAACTTTTCTGTAAGTTTCTGATTGTTTAAAAAAAAACTGTTGAGTTAGAAAAATACCTATTGTAATGATTCACCTCAAACAGGTTACCTAGGGAGGCCTCAGACTCATAAGCGAGATCTACCAGCCACTCCAGACCTCATCTTTACCATGCCCCGTGGTTGGAGCTGACCTCAACTGTGGTCCTTGTTGTCTGGTTAAAAAGATCCAGTAGCATGGCAAAAAGATCTGGTCCTGATTTTGTCACTACTAGATCTGTTTGATCATGAACAAGTCTTCTCACCTCTTGGAGCTTCAGAATTCCTTCTCTGTAAAACAAGTAATCCCTACCACCTGGTTATTATAAAGGACAAACGGGGTAACACACGCGAAAAGGTTTTGTAGATACCACACACCTTGTGACAGTCTCTTTACCCTTGCCTTTTTTTTTTTTTGGTATTGTTAATGTACAATTACTTGAACATATGGTTACTAGACTCCCCATATTATCAAGCCCCCCCACATACCCCATTACAGTCACTGTCCATCAGCGTAATAAGATGCTATAGAATCACTACTGGTCTCTGTGCTTTCCTGCCTTCCCCGTGCCCCCCCACTACATTATGTGTGCTAATAGCAATGCCCCTTTTCCCCCCTTACCCTCCCTTCCCACCCATCCTCCCCAGTCTCTTTCCCTTTGGTAACTGTTGGTCCTTTCTTGGGTTCTGCGATTCTGCTGCTGTTTTGTTCCTTCAGTTTTTTCTTTGTTCTTATGCTCCACATATGAGTGAAATCATTTGATACTTGCCTTTCTCCACCTGGTTTACCCTTGCATTTTAACGGTGCATTAGGGATTGTTTATTAAATGTCCAGAAACATTTTAAAACTGCACTTATTTAAAAATTTTGGTTAATGCATATATATTAAGTGTAAAGAATAAAAATTTTAAATCCTGTTATCCCATACCCCCAAACTAGTCTTGATTAAAACCAAAATTCTCCAAACATACCACACCTTGGTTTGCCTTAAAAGGACTAGAGTGAACATCTGAACTTCGTTTATCCGTCCATCTGGGGCAATTCTGAAACTCGTTTTCTTCTAAAGTCACCTTTTTGTTGCCTTTCACCTTTTATTCGCAGAAACTGCACTGGGGACTTCTTTGGGTACATAACTGTCGTGGTCTAGAACAAAGTGTGGCCTAACAATTTCCTCATCCCTCAGGTGTACCCTTTACAAGGGGATAGTAAGCGTCAGCGGCTCTGCAGCCACCACAACGCAAGACCATTCCAAACGGACATCACGGAAAGCCCCGCCCCTCTCAGGGCACGCCCACCGCCGGGCTTCCTGGGCGGGGCCGCCCCGAGCAACTTCCGGAGGCCCCCGGAAGTTCCTGTCGCCTAGCAACCAAGGAGCCCTGCGCAGAGATAGGGCTGAGACTCGGGGCGGACTGGGAACCGCAGAAGTTTCCCTGCCTTCTCAGGCGTGAGGGGGGACCTGCAGTCCCCAGCTGGCCCTATCATGTGACTGCTGCGGTCGCTCCCGTCCTCACAAGGGCTGCCGGGAAACAGGTGACACTCCTTTCCAATACAACTGTCATCCCGTCCATCTTCCTTAACGAGGAAGACTACTACCATTTTTTGAGCAGCTAAGTGTGTGTCAGGCTCCATCAGATACGACAAATAATTTAACCCTGATAATTTACACAACCTATCCCACTGATGAGGACGCCAGCCCAGGGAGGCTGAGGCCCTCAACCTGTCGCCGGGTGCACGTATTTGGAGCCCTGTCTGAAGGGCAGATATCCCGCCTACCGGTTCCCCACCAGGGAGGCTGGAGGAGCAGCAGCAACTTCAACATACACCCAAGGTGCTTTATTTTACATAATGACTCATGAACTAGCGTTTATATAAGAGCAAGTCCCTGAGGGGTCAAAGATCCTGCCATGCAAAAAAGCAAACAGACCCAAGGTCTGGAGAAGGGCAGTGAATGCCTTTGAAATGGATGGGGTGCATCTGATCGCCGCAATCCAGGGCTCAGCTTATTGGCAGGAGACCTTCAGGTGAGAAAATACAAGTGTTTTGGCCTCTAATATCTGAGCTGAGCAAACCATGGACAGCTTGGGCACCAAAATGCTGAAGTGTGAATCCTCGATGGCCTGGCAAGGCTGGAGTCTATCACCTGAGGGCTCTGAACACTGCTCAGAGTGTCAGGCCACGCTCCTTGAACAGCTGCCTTAGAGCCTCTTCCAGCTGTTTATTTGTTCCCTGAAGCCCCTTCACCACCTGTGCTGCCCACTCGAAGTATTCCTGGACTCGACGTTCAGACCATCCTGCATAAGAATGGACAGAAAACTGCTCACGTGACATGCAGGCCAGCACTGGATTTTGCCCACTTCCTGGAGGGCTTGGTGCAGGGCCACGACATGAGTTTCTGATGGAACAGATTTGTCCTGAAAACGTCCCCTTGTCCCAGCCATTGTATTTCTACTTTATGAAAGAAGATCAGAGTGGTCTAGTAGGATTTGGGGGGGAAATTAACAAGAACGCCCAAGCTTTTTCTCAGGGGAACTGAAACCTATGCCTACAGAAGGCAGACAGCCCCCCACTTTCCCTCAGAACAGGTGCGGGAGCATACCCTCTGGGGTGCAGCGGTTCAGGTCCCTCAGATTGTACAGCTTGTCTGCCAGCTTCACCAGCTTGGCCCCTGGGCTGCTGCGGGGTGCCCGCTCCACCTGCAGCCGCTTTCTCTCCAGCTTGGGCAGCGTCTTGTCGTCTGTTACCTCCTCCACCAGACGCCGCACTTGCTCCCCGAAGTGCAGCTCCACCTCCTCCAGGGTGGTGTCTGTATCTTCCACCGTGTCGTGGAGCAGGGCCGCCTGGGGACAGGCTTCCACTCAGCCCTGTAACGCCACCAAGGGGTGCCCAAGCCGAAGGGGGCCCCTGATCCCACCCCAGCCTCCTAGCAGAGGAGGAGGAAAGTTACCTGTAACACCGCAATGTCGGTGACTCCCGCCTCGTGGGTCAGGATCCGGGCCACACCTGACCGGGCAAAGCGGGAAGTCAGCCGGGAGGGCTTCCAGGGCGGCCTGCTGGGGGCTCTGTGGTGCCAGGTGTGATGGAGCCGCCCACTAGCTGGGTGACTTTGTACAAGTCCTTTACCCTTCTTGGGTGTTAACCATACAAAGGGAACAATCATGCCCACCGCCCCGGGTTGTTATGAGGCTGAAACACGAGCAGTCCTGGCACAGAGCTTGGTACACAGTAAGTGCTCAGTGAAGCGCACGCCCTCCGCGTTCCCTTCCCGGTCCCACCCCCTAGACGCCGCTGCGGTAGCTCCCCGGGCGGCGCGCCCACCGATAGGGTGGTTGATGTAGGGAGTCCCTTCAGGGTCCTTCCGCCGCTGCCGTCGGTGTTTGCGAGCCGCAAAGTCTGCGGCTTCCAGCAGCCGCGCCGCCTCGGAGCCCATCCCGCAGGAAGGGAGCGCGACAGCAGTCCCGCGAGCAGGGGGAGCCGGGACGGAGCGTCCCCAGCGCCCCCTGGCGCCGCGGAGGCCGCGGGATTGTGGAGTCTGGCCCAGACGGGTTCCCCGTGGGCTGACATCCTGTGCAGAGAGGGGAACTGGTGCGGGGAGCCGCCCTCAGCACCGCAGCGTCTGCTTGAGTGCGCTCTGGGAGCCCACGTTCTCAGGGAAGGAGCAAGTGTGTGGAGTCCAGGGCAGGAAAGCACAGGGACTATGGTTCCTCGGAGGAGGGGCAATTCACCCAGCCTCTTGGTCAAAGGCAGCTTCTCTCAGGAGGGGCTTCAGCCTGCCCACCATGAAAGGACAATTTTCAACCCGTCAATGCTCTGAAATTTCTCAAAGTGCTCTTAAAATAGCTCTCTGTGCAGGGATAGGCCTGCACATAGGCCTGCTATGGGCATGGGAGCCTCACCTTTGGGCCCACAAGACCCTAGGCCTGACCTTCTGGAAATGGGAAGTACACTGAGAGCTCTGCCTAATTGCTTAAGATTTTGGCTGCCAGGCAGCAGTGATGTTTCTGCAGGTATTGTCTTCTTTGCTCTCAGGTGCTGGGACAAAATTGTATTTCTTTCTTGTGGCATAAGGGATTCCTGCTTTAGTCCCCAGGCACCTGCTGTGGTCCCCTGGTGTCACTGCTGTTGTGGGAGCATGACTTGTCAGGCCGTGTAGGCAATAGAACAACACTTAACGCCGCGGGAGGTAGCCTCCAGTCTTCCGGAGAAATTGCTTGTCTCAGCAGGTGGCATCTATGAGGTCTGAGAGGTAACAGGGACCAGAAGACCTCAAAAGAGTTTTCCCTGTGCAATGAGGTTGGCTAGTTGCTAAATATACTGCAATCAGACTGGTAGCTTGTGCACCCTGTAGGGCAGATGAGGGCTCAGGGGAGAGTTAACTAAAGGACTAGTAGCCCTTGGTTGTCAGCTAGTCTTGGTGGTTGCCATGACACGGAAGTTAGGGAGGGAAGTCCCAAATACCTGCACCTGAGGTCTCTGGGGCCTCAGATGGAAAGATCAGAATTCCCAGGGCTTCCGTGGCAGCCTGGACGTTGAGAGTGAGTGGAGAGAAACGTATTTGGCTCTAACTGCTTGTCTGTCTTCAGGCTAAGGGCTCGACTTCTCTCTCATTCCTCATTCTGCCCTCCAGTCTTCTGAGACTTTTCCCCTTTGGCTCAGAAAATCTTAGCTTGGAGACACTGTCCCCACATTTTCCAACAGAAGATAGAAACTCGGTTACTTTCATCTCTCTCCAGAAGTCTGTGACAGAGAAGCTTCAGGTCTATGTGGTAACGGTGCCCAAGGGTCTTGGGGCTTTTTTATGCCCTTCCTGTCTGCAGTGGCTTAGAAAGAGGGATCCTGTGTTCCTAGGACCAGGGCTGAAGTGGAGGTGGCCTCTCATGGGCTTCCAGAGTAGGCAGGGCCCTTTGCGGACAGGCCTGCGGGCGGGACTGCTGCTGCTCTTTGGCTGGATGACGCTTGCTCAGCGGACCTCTCTCTCAGGTACGGCACTCTCCTCTGTGACCGCTCCCCCCCTACGCCAGGTCCCCCACTCTTTCAGCGGAGTGTGGGCTCCTCTGGGGAGCTGGTGGGGAGAAAGGGAACCTGCCCTTCTGAAAATGGCCGACCTCTTTCACTCAAAGAGGTGGGAAGACCATTCCTGCCCGTCTCCAGCCCCCTTGCCCCTCCCTTCAGCGGTGGCCAACCACTTGTGCCAGGCCACCTGGGATGCTGATGGCGGCCACTATCCCGGCTTCTTCTGTCCTCGGCTCTCCGATACTCCGGAGGAAGCCTACTGCTGCCACCTGCAGGCTGCAGGGGGCTCCTGCTGCACCCGCGCTGAATTTGAGGCCTTGTACCAGGTCAACTTGTCTACCCTTCCGTCCCCAGCCGTCTTCAGGTGAGGACTCCAGCCCCGGAGACCCGGGAACGCTGGACAGGGTGTTCCAGCATCTCGGGTTCTGTTTCCAAATTCTGGGATGGGACGCTTGTAGCTTTTAGACCAATGGGGCAGACCTCAAACAGATCGTCACATAAATATAGGATTACAAACTATTCTGTGAAGGAAAAGTTCAGGGGGCTACGAAAGCAGGTGATAGGGAGCCATTGTAGTGTGGGGCGGGGACGGGTGGGACGGGTGTCCGGACTGAGAGATCTTGTAGTCCTTGGACTACACACATTGCAGTCGGGGTTTTCAAAATCTTGGATCTGTTCCCTGATGGCTTCAGGATACCTGTGGGCCCCTTGAATTTCTATTTTTCATTTATATGGGGACGCAGTCCCAAGCTTTCCCCGGACTCCCAGGGGCTCAGTAACCCACAGGCTGCAGTGGCGAGAGAGCGGCCGGGCCGGCACCCTGATCCGCTCGCCTCCCACAGGGGCCCGGGCCCTCTGCTGGCGCTGGGCCTCTACAGCCTCCTGCTAGTGGCCCTGGTGACCGCAGACCTCGTGCACTTCTGCCGCAGCCGGGGAAGGGGCCGGGGCCCGAGCCGGCGGCCTCCCGCGGGGTCCTCCGCCGCGCGCCCCCTGCAGGTCTCGTCGGGAACACACTAGGCGCGCGGGGCCTTCGCGCCGCAGCCGCGGCCAAGCGCACCGCCTCCCACCTCCCGCTGCCCCGGCGCGCGCCCCTTGGCCCCGCCCCTCCCCTGCCCCCGCCCCGACGCAGGATTGGGGCGGGGCAGCCGCCCGCGGATTCCCGAGCCCGCCGCCGCCGCCGCGCCCCAGAGACTGCGCCTGCGCGCCCCGCGACGTCGGCCCCGCGATGACTGTGAGTGGCCCCAGGGACCCCCGAGCCCCGGCCAGTCGCCCCCGGGCCCTTCTCCCTGCGCCGTCGCCCCTTCGTGCCCGTGCTGACCGTTCCCTGGCCTCTTCCCGCGGTCCCGGCTCTCCGTGGGCCTGGCCCCTGACCCCCAGCCTCCTTTTCCCCTCGCTCCCAGGCTCCGTCCTGAGCCCACCCCGAATGTTCCCACCCGCTCCCTCCGCAGGCCAGCTCAGTGGAGCAGCTGCGGAAGGAGGGCAACGAGTTGTTCAAGGGCGGGGACTACGAAGGCGCCCTGGCGGTCTACACCCAGGCCCTGGGTCTGGACGCGACGCCGCAGGACCAGGCCATTCTGCACCGGAACCGGGCTGCCTGCCACCTCAAGCTGGTGAGGGCGCCGGCTGCGACTTCACCTTCCTAGGCCGCCCACACCTGTCAGTTGTCTTTCGGGCCTCTGGGTGGTGGGGATCGGGCGACTGTGGAGAACAAGCCTGATGCCCAGGTAGTGCCCCGAAAGGGAGAAGACCAGCTTCTCAGGCTCCTGTTCCTTGTCTTACAGGAAGATTATGACAAAGCAGAAGCTGAGGCATCCAAAGGTGGGGGACTGTGGGCTCTCCTGGGGGGCTGTGAAGCCTCTGTGGTGGGCAGGGGCTCTGGGACCTCGGCACCCGCACATCCTCCTCCTCCTTTGGTCCCTGAAACGCGTCTGCCTGCTTTCTTTCCCACTTCCTCGGGCATTTCCTTTTCTGCAGCTACCCTCACCTTTTCTGAGGCTGAAGTCCTGAGCCCCACATCCGTCCCCCCACCTTCCTCTGGCCCTCGAGATCTTTCCCTACTGCTCTTGCCTGGAGACGGTGGCCTCATGGGTGCTGACAGAGCTCCTGTTTGTGCTCAGCCATTGAAAAGGACGGTGGGGATATCAAAGCACTTTACCGACGCAGCCAAGCCCTAGAGAAACTGGGCCGCCTCGACCAGGCTGTCCTCGACCTGCAGAGATGTGTGAGCCTGGAACCCAAGAACAAAGTTTTCCAGGAGGCCCTGCGAAATATCGGAGGCCAGATTCAGGAGAAGGTGGGTGAGTGACAGAGAGAGAGAGAGAGAGTGATGCATTAACCAGTGGTGGAGGCGCACTGGTACATGGACCTGGATCAAGGGTGCAAACAGTGCAAATGGTTCTCTGGAGAGGAGATGGCAGATGAGCTTTAAGAATGATGCTCAGCCTTGCCAGTGGTCAGGGAAAAGCAAATCAACAACAAGGTGCTGTTTTTTCAGCAGTCTGTTTGGCAAACATGAGAAGTTGTACATTTTGCTAGAAGGACAGAGGCAGACACTTAAGTGGTGAGGCTGGGAGGCCAGGGGCTGGCTCTTGGCTGCTGGAGGGGGCATGAACCGCACAGCTTTAGCTCACCTCCTAAAGTTTTGGAAGAGCCTGTAGTCCAGTGTGTCTCCTTCTTGCTGTCTTCCCCCTAGACAAGCCTTGCCTGCGTCCACAAGCATGTGTGCATATGTTTATTTTAGCCTTGTTTGTAGTAATTAAAAAATGGAACTTGGCTAAATAAAACAGGTGATGTTCTTACCACAGAATTCTATGTTGTAGTTTCCAAGAATTGGTAGATCCACATGTATGGACACGGAAAGCTGACTCTTGTTAAATGAAAAAATATGTAATAACACGTATAGTATGATACCATTCATGTTAAAATGATCCCCTCATCTACACACCCAAAAGAATACCATGTTTTTTCTCTGGGTCCACCGGAGCATGTAAATAATAAAAAAGATACACATCAGAACGATAACACTGTGACCCTGGGAAAAGGGGTGGGATTGACAGGAATTTTCAAAGGAGCTTTTGCTTCATTTGTTAATTTTTTTTCTGTATAAAAATACATTGTGTAGTACATATTTTTAAAAATTATCTTGAGAAGAAAATCCGAGGACCGTCATGAAGTATAACCATGCTTGTTAACCAGATAATTTGGTGTTAAAGTGCTGACACAGCGGAAGCAAGCATTCGATGGCGGATCCCTTAACTGAAAGGTGGACGCCTGGGAAGGCAAATCGTTTTCCACCCAGTGCCAGCTCTGTGTGATCAGCTGGGCTGCCTAGAGCTCTGGGCTGAGAAGCAGCAGGAGGCAGGTCGGTAGGGCCTAGCAGGAGAAGGTGCCACAGCTGATTAGTCATACCTGCCGTGGAGATGCAAGAGGGGAAGGGGGGGTGGCACGTGAGCTGGGCATGTACCACCATCCATGCCCACTATCCTGGCGAGGGGAGCGCCTAGGATGATCTTGCTCATTCAGATGTTTTTTTTTTTTTAAACTTTCAAGAAGAATTCTGGAGCTGCAGGGAGTGTTGGCAGCTACAGTGACTTGGCTGCCTCGCAGGAGTTGTAAAAGCTGAGCACCCATGTTGCCACAACATAGATGGCTCCCCTGGGCAGGGGGTCGCCTCGTGGCTAACAGGATGCCTCCCCTGAATGGCACTGCCTGTAGCATCGGCGCCGCCTCTGTGGCCCAAGCAGGAAGTGGTAGCTCGGGGAGGAAAACAGCCTGGGGACGCTTGGGAGAAGCTGCCAGGCGAGTCTCCTGCCTCCCAGGGTAGCCTGACAGCGGCCCCGGCGTCTGTGCCTCCCGGGAGGAGCTGGGGAGAACGCAAAGGGGCTTTGTTGTCTCTGGCCAGGAGACGCGATTGTTGCCATGCTGTCGTCTGTCACAGGTACGGTACATGTCTTCAACAGACGCCAAAGTGGAACAGATGTTTCAGATACTATTGGACCCACAGGAGAAAGGCACCGAGAAAAAGCAAAAGGTATGGGGCCTGGACTGGGCAGCAGGGGCTGAACCCCCACTCCAGCTGGCTCCCAAGGTGCCCCCCCTGTAGGCTGAAGCTGGCCCCAGGAGCCCCTCTTGGCCCAGTGGACCTGGCCTGCTGCGTGGCACGCGTCACATCGCACGGCTGGCTCACAGAGCCGGGGCGGGAGCTCAGATGGCCTGGGGCCTGACTGTGAGCCACGGGGAGGAGCCTTGCTGGCCAGGCCGTGTCAGGAGCTGCGGCCACAGAGGTGACTGAGGCAGTGTGCCAGGCCCTCAGGCTCTGCCCAGGACTCAGGACCCCGTTTATTCTGTCAGCTTGAAGAGCAAGCTCTTCCCTCTACTTAGAGAGGAGGAAACTTTAGAGATGTTATGTTTATATATTTTATGGCTGAGGTCACTTAGCTTCTAAGTGGAAGCAGTGAGGCCCAGAGCCCAGGGTGTCTGGCTGCGCTTCCGCGGGATGTGTGCACTGTCGACGCTGTAACGTACTTCCTGAACGCAGGCTTCTCAGAACCTGGTGGTGCTGGCCCGGGAGGACGCTGGAGCTGAGAAGATCTTCCGGAGCAATGGGCTTGAGCTCTTGCAGCGCCTGCTGGAGACGGGAGAGACCGACCTGATGCTCGCAGCTCTGCGCACGCTGGTCGGCATTTGCTCCGAGCACCAGTCCCGGGTAAGTGGGCCCTAGGTCCTGCCCCTATCAACCCATCCCTCTCTCCCTTCTTCCGCCCTCCAACCATCCATCCACCCACACCTCATCATATTCCAGCAAGAACCTAAGGCAGAGTACAAGGAGACATGTAATGAGAAGAAAAATTAAAATGGCTCAATGTGATTTGGGAGGAACTGGAACAGGAGAGGGCCTGGGATACTGAGCGGGCTTTCAAGTGTGACTAGGCTCCCCTGCAGCTGCTTCAGAGAGACGGCTGGACCTGGACACACTCACTGTCCCTAGGGTAAAAGCAAGCTTCCTGTGAAGAAGGCACCTGCCAACCACACTAGCATTTAGCCTGGAGGGCTCTCCTCATGGCGGATGATATGATACAGTCAGTGATGACACCCACTGCGTCTTTACCATCCAGACACCAGACACGAGGGGCTTGACCCTGAAACGACTCTCAGTGTGGACTATGGGTGTTCAGCAAGAGCAGCCCTGGCCTGGGCCGGTGTGGCGACGTCTGCCCCAGCCCGTGCCTGAGCTGGCTGGACCCAGGGGGTGGGGGCTTGACCCTTGGTTGCTTTTAGAGGAGCCCACAATTCCTAGTTCTGGGGTGGAACTGTGACACACTCTGTGAAAGCCCTTCAGGCCAAATTCAGACTGCATTTCTGGGTCTCCTGGGACTGTGAATGGTAAGCCACGGGAATCCCACCTACCTCCTTCAGCCTTCGCACCGGCAGGACCCAGGTGGACCTTCTGGGGTTTGCAGCTTAGAAACGGAGTAGAGAGGCCTATGGTCCATTCCATGCGTGGCCACATCCCCTGAGTGCAGCCAGCGCCTCCAGGTTGACACTGGTACCCTCAGGCCTGGGAGTCGGAGAGCTTTGTCCGCGCAGTGTCTCCTTCCTGGGGAGGCAGGAACCAGAGCAGCTGCTCCCAGGGCTCCGGCATTCCCCTTCCACCCCAAGTGGAGGCAAGGGCAGGAGAGGCTTGGTGGGTCCTCTGGGATGCTTTCTTGAGGGAGCCTTTCCAACAAAATGATCCAAGCCCAAAGGCCCACCCGGAGCTGGTGCCTCCACCCAGTGGCTTTGTCCTGGCCACCCCCCCAGCCCGCAGTGCGGGGCCTCTGTGACTGCCCTTCACCAACGGGAAGCTCTGTCCCCCTCTTCTCCACCCAGACAGTGGCGACCCTGAGCGTGCTGGGCACTCGGCGGGTGGTCTCCATCCTGGGTGTGGAAAACCAGGCTGTGTCCCTGGCTGCCTGCCACCTGCTGCAGGTGATGTTTGATGCCCTCAAGGAAGGCGTCAAGAAAGGCTTCCGAGGCAAAGAGGGTGCCATCATTGTGGGTGAGTGGAAGCAGTCTGTGGTCCTTTGGGTCTGCTGTCCTGGATGGGCAGGTCCTGAGCCAGGTCCCTCGGGACCATACTGGCAGCTGCAGCTTGTTCAGGAATATGACCCGGTGATAGTTATTTTACTCTAGGGTCTGAGTAGCCAGGGTGCCTGTGGGGAAGGCTGGGGCCCGGCCCAGATCCCAGGATGCAGGTCCATCTCCCTGCGTCTCCCTGGCTATTGGGGACGTTCAGGGGTCAGACTGGGCTGGGCCACTGTGGAGCCCACTATCTTCCTGTTGCCAGATCCCGCCCGCGAGCTGAAGGTCCTCATCAGTAACCTCTTGGAGCTCCTGACTGAGGTGGGGGTCTCCGGCCAAGGCCGAGACAATGCTCTGGCCCTCCTGATTAAGGTGGTGCCCCGGAAGTCTCTCAAGGACCCCAACAACAGCCTCACCCTGTGGGTCATTGATCAGGGTAGGTGACAGAGCTTTAACAAGGGGAAGAAAGAGCCGGGCCTGTGTTGCAGCTTGCTTGGGAGGCTGGGCCTGCTTGTCCCCGGCAGTGATTGTACATGGCTACATGTCTGTACTGAAGCACTCCCCATGGCCTGGGCTGCAACCTTGGGGAACTCAGACCCTTCACCGTGAATGTGGGCACACGCGTGCACGTGCAGCAGGCCTGCGGGCAGGTTGGGGAGGCTGGACCAGCCTTTTGTGTCCAGAAGTATTGAGAGCATGGCAGAAGGCCCCTGCATGAGCACATCTCCTGGGGGCTCCCCTCTGTTTGCTGTCCTGGTCCCACAGCTGCCTGCTCGGGCAGCGCACCAGCCACGCGGAGTCGCTGAGGCCGCCCTTGGTGCAGCTCTGTACTTGGTCCCCTCGCCCAAGAGTGGCCCTGCTTTTCTGCGCGTCTCTCAGGGAACCTCTTCCCTCTGCCTACAGGGGTTGGAAGTAGTGTTCTGTTGTCTAAATAGGGTATCTTTTCAGGCCTGACAAAGATTCTGGAGGTGGGAGGCTCGGTGCCAAGCCCTGCTGGGGAGCCCACAGTGACGGCGAACAGCCGCATGAGTGCCTCCGTCCTCCTCAACAAGCTCTTCGATGACCTGAAGTGTGACGCCGAGAGGGAGAATTTCCACCGACTCTGCGAAAACTACATCAAGTGAGGGATTCGGCCTGCTTCCCATTCCCTCTGGCACCTTGGGAGGGACGGCGGTGGAAGGTGTTCAACCAGGAGAGCAGCCTTAGGGACGACTAGCAGGGGCCACAGTGGCCCCAAGGCTCACTTCTGTTCCCGAGTGACCCCCTCAGGGGTGCTCCTCCAGTCCGTGCTGCTGTCATGCAGCAGGTGTCAAGCACGCATTGTGATTGCTGTGCATGGACTGCGTGTCTTCTGACACAGCTGTGTAGCACGGCAGCCCTACCCTTATGGAGCTTACAGCTGGGAGAAGACAGGTTATAAAATAAGCAGACTAGGTTCAGCTCTTAAGAACAGGAAAGAGGCGGGCAGGGTGGCAGGGTGGTGTGTGGTTGGGAGGCTGGACTGCACACCTGGGTAAAGAAAATCGGCGATTGCTCTCTGGGTCTCCCCGCTAGCAGCTTTTCTTACTGTTGCTGCCCAAGCAGTGCAGCTGCCTGGCCAGTGGGTGGGAGGGAAGGAGAGTCCCTTTAAGCTGGCCCTGGTGTGACATCTGTCACCCTGTGCCCCTCAGGAGCTGGTTTGAGGGCCACGGGCTGGCCGGGAAGCTGAGGGCCATCCAGACGGTGTCCTGCCTCCTGCAGGGCCCATGTGATGCCGGCAACCGGGCCCTGGAGCTGAGTGGCGTCATGGAGAGCGTGATTGCTCTGTGTGCCTCTGAGCAGGAGGACGAGCAGCTAGTGGCCGTGGAGGCCCTGATCCATGCGGCCGGCAAGGCCAAGCGGGCCTCCTTCATCACTGCCAATGGCGTCTCGCTGCTGAAGGACCTGTACAAGCGCAGCGAGCAGGACAGCATCCGCATCCGAGCCCTGGTGGTGAGATGGGCAGGCGGGTGGGCCGCCAGGCAGAGGCCCGGGTGGCTGCTGTCCTAGCGTGTGGCTGCAGCCCACACTAGGTCAACATAGGGCACGCCCAGGGCCTTGCTGAGGCCAGAGACAATGGGCCCTGACTCCTCTCACCAGGGGCCACGGTCAAGTCAGGGAGACGAGCCTTATACCGAGAGGACACCTGGAGGTGCTGGGAGGAGCTCCCGGGGGAACTGAAGGAGCTTGGAGGCCACGCTGGGCCAGGCTGTGTGGAACGACGGGCTGTGTGAAAAGGCTGGGCCTGCACGTGGTCCCAGGAGCTGATGGTTTGGGGACCATCTGGCCTCCGTGAGCCCATTGCAGCCGTGTACCTTCGGGAAGCTGGTCCTCCTTGGGGCACGTGGCCATGGGCTTCTGCATCCCATGCGGGTCTTGGTCTTGGCTGAGGCACCTGCCTTCTCCCCACACATGCCTTAGCCCACCTGTAAAGATCTTTGTCGTATGATCTGGAAGGGACAGAGCAACTCCCAGGGCAGGGCAGGAGGGGTTCGGGCCCTGGATAGCACAGCGGCCGGTATGTCATTCTCTACCAGATGCTGAGTCACATGGCCACCCCAGTAGCTAATTTTGTTGCCAAATGCTCCAGCTGGTAGCCTGGTTGGGGTGTGCAGGGCCTTCAGAGGGCCCGGGCAGAATGCCAGGGAGGGAGCCCTCGCCAGGTGCCCGGGGGCCCAGCTCTGCCTCCGTCCCCAGAGGCTAACAGCTGTTTCCCGCCTCTTCCCCAGGGACTCTGTAAGCTCGGCTCAGCCGGAGGGACCGACTTTAGCATGAAGCAGTTTGCTGAAGGCTCCACTCTCAAGCTGGCCAAGCAGTGTCGAAAGTGAGTTGTCTGGCATCATTGTGGCTCCGCCCCTATAGGCCGGCCCTCTCAGGGTCTGGGTGGAGGCTGGGGCTCCCTCACTGCCCTGCTCTCCTCCGGGCAGACTTTTCTAGATCCTACCACGTGCATTGCTGTGTGTGTGCGGGCGGTGCTCAAGCCCCTGGTTTTTCCCCCTGGTCCCGGTCTGCCCCTGCCTGCGCCCTCCCGGTTCTGATGGTCACCCACTGCCCTGCGTGTCCCCAGGTGGCTGTGCAATAACCAGATGGACACAAGCACTCGGCGCTGGGCCGTGGAGGGCCTGGCCTACCTCACCTTCGATGCTGACGTGAAGGAAGAGTTTGTGGAAGATGAGGCTGCCCTGAAAGCTCTGTTCCGGCTTAGCAGGGTAGCCCGTGGGTTCCTGCATCGGATCGGGACAGTGTCTAGGATCAGAGCTTAGCAGGCTTTCCTAGGTCTTGACCAGAGGCTTCTGGGGCCCCGGGGAGGCCGGCTGGTAGCGTAGACAGCCGCTCCGAGTGGCGTGGGCAGAGTGGACTGCACTGGCAGTTGGAAAGGATGGTCTCTGCAGGGGTAGGGGACACCAGTGCGTGCGCGCCCAAGGGGTCAGGTGCAGGCCTGGGAGGGCCCCAGATTCATCCTGGTGTCCGCTGGTCCAGCTGCGAGTAGAGGGCTCCTGGGCAGCGGTCATCCCAGCACTGCTCTGCTCCGGGATGGCCAGCTAACCGCCCCTGTGCTCCCGGCAGTCTGAGGAGAGGTCGGTGCTCTTCGCAGTGGCCTCAGCACTGGTGAACTGCACCAACAGCTACGACTATGAGGAGCCCGACCCCAAGATGGTGGAGCTGGCCAAGTATGCCAAGCAGCACGTGCCTGAGCAGCACCCCAAGGTGAGGGGCCGCGAGGAAGGGCTTGGCTGTCTGTGGGCATCCACAGCAGTTGAGCTTTCCATTTAAGCAGGTTTCTGCCCGTTTGCATGTGCATCGGTTTGTGCTGCGAGGGCCCCCTTCCCCTCTCTGGTCAGCTGAGGCCCTCTGCTGAGCTGCCTCCTTCCCCAGGACAAACCAAGTTTCGTGCGGGCTCGGGTGAAGAAGCTGCTGGCGGCCGGCGTGGTGTCCGCCATGACGTGCATGGTGAAGACCGAGAGCCCTGTGCTGACCAGTTCCTGCAGAGAGCTGCTCTCCAGGTGAGCTGCTTCGGCCGAGCCAGACGTTTCCCACCACAGCAGCCTTGAGGCTGTGACATAACTGCGGAGGGAGCAGGCCCTGCTGCGGGCCCGGGCCCCTTGGGGCCTCGGGGGCACCCGCCTGGCTGCCTGCCCGAGCCGCGGCCGCCCCTGCTCACCGCTGCCCTCTCCCTCTAGGGTCTTCCTGGCTTTGGTGGAAGAGGTGGAGGACCGCGGCACGGTGGTTGCCCAGGGAGGAGGCAAGGTAAGCTGCCTTACAGACTCCTACATGATGGCCTGCAAATGTGGCTCAGTGGCCACCACACCAGAGATCCGTGCTGGATGTGGGGTGGAAAAGCGCTGTTAGTGGGCAGCAGGGACGCTGTCCTGCTGGGGGAGTGATGCTGATGGGGGTGGGTGCGTCAGAGCCCCTGGCACTTTGTGCCCATTAAGGTCCTGAGCTCACCTCCTCTCTCCTGTTGTTGACGTCTGCAGCCCAGCACAGTCCATGGCTAGCCCCTGACAGGTGTTTTCGGGAAATGTTTGGGTAGCTTAGTGAGAGACCTCAGAGGGCAAAGAGGGTCTGCGCAGGGGCTGTCATCCAGCCCGAGGAGAGGAGGGGAAGGTCAGGGAGGCACGGCCGGCGTTGGGCCTTACCCTCCCGGGCACATCCTGGGCACTGGCAGGCTTGTCTCTACAGGCTCTGCTCCCACTGGCCCTGGAAAGCACTGAAGTGGGGCAGACAAAGGCAGCCCAGGCCCTCGCCAAGCTCACCATCACCTCCAGCCCAGAGATGACCTTTCCTGGCGAGCGGGTGTGTGTCCCCCTACCCCAGCCCTGGCCTCTTCACCTGTCACTGGGCCCCAGAGGCCTCTGACCTAGGCTCTGGCTCCCTTGGAACCACAGGAAGTGGCAGCTTGCTGAGCCCCCAGGGGGGAGGGCAGCCTTCTCGGGGTGGACCCCCACCTTCAGGGTCAGTGGCGCCAGGAGAGTCGTCCTGACAGGTGGGGTGCATTTCACAGATCTATGAGGTGGTCCGGCCCCTGGTCTCCCTGTTGCACCTCAGCTGCTCGGGCCTGCAGAACTTCGAGGCCCTCATGGCTCTGACAAACCTGGCAGGGATCAGCGAGAGGCTCCGGTGAGGCCCCTTGGGATTGGGGGGCTGGGTGGGAAGGGCATCAGGATTCAGACTATCCCCAGGAAAGCACTAGTTTGGAGAGCACTCTTGGGCCACTGCTTTACTTGAGCCTCACAGTCCTGCCTCCGTATCACATAAGCCAAGAGGTTTGACCTGCACATGTTCAATGAGAGGAAAGGCCTGGGCGGTAACAGTGCGGGCTCTGGAGTTCTGCCTGGGTTCCAGTCCTGGCCTCACTGGTTGCAAGTGTGTAACTTCAAGCAAGTTAGTTTCTCTGTGCCTTGGTTTCCCCCTCTGAAATGGGAGGGTGACAGTATGTAGCTCACGGAACAGTAGTGAGAATTAAATGAGAAAATACATGTAAAAGAATTTAGCATGTAGGCACCTGGCTGCTGCCCATGTGCCCAATCAATACACGTCAGCTGTTGTCACTGATTGTGGCCTTGGGCACGTTACCCTGCTGCTCAGCTTGTTTCCTCTTCTGCAAAATGGTGGTGAGAGTCACACCTGCATCATCACCGGAGGGCCTGAGGAGGACCAACTAAGTCCAAGTGCTGGGTCAGGACTGGGGCTAAGGTGTTCAGTGTTAGTGTCACCTCACCACCACCACCACGGTGGCCTCCAGGCTCCTAGTTCCTCCAGTCCCAAGATCTCCTGTAGGCTTGGCCTGAAGGCTGGCAACACTGCAGATTTTACCTGCTGCAGGAGTATCTTTGGACATTGCCCAGGGACATTCTCGGTCCAAGTGACTGGGGGAATGGGGACAGCGGCTCTGACGCCGCCGTGCCTTCCACCCTTGGCCTCACAGGCAGAAGATCCTGAAAGAGAAGGCTGTGCCCATGATCGAGGGCTACATGTTTGAGGAGCACGAGATGATCCGCCGGGCAGCCACGGAGTGCATGTGTAACTTGGCCATGAGCAAGGAGGTGAGGGTGGGTCTGGGCAGTCGTGGGGGCAGGCACGCAGAAGCACCCGTGCCCCGGCTGGGCTGTGCCCTGGCCGACCTGGTCTGCTCCTCTTGCCCGGCCACAGGTGCAGGACCTCTTTGAGGCCACGGGCAATGACAGGCTGAAGCTGCTGGTGCTGTACAGCGGAGAGGACGACGAGCTGCTGCGGCGGGCGGCTGCGGGGGGCCTGGCCATGCTCACCTCCGTGCGGCCCTCCCTCTGCCACCGCATCCCTCAAGTGGTCAGTGCCTCTTGTCGGTGGTGGAGGGGAGATGGGCCAGGGCACCCCAGCACATGGCAGTTGGTGGAGGGAAGTCCCAGGCCACGTGAGTGTGTTGCCCTGCCAGGACTGAGCCTGTTGCTGGCCAGTCACACCGCCCTGTTTTCTGCAGACCACACATTGGCTGGAGATCCTGCAGGCTCTGCTTCTGAGCTCCAACCAGGAGCTCCAGCACCGGGGCGCTGTGGTGGTACTGAACATGGTGGAGGCCTCAAGAGAGATCGCCAGCACCCTGATGGAAAGCGAGGTGCTGGAGATCCTGTCCGTGCTGGCTAAGGGCAAGGAGAGTCCCGTCGCAAGGGCTGCCGCAGCCTGCCTGGGGAAAGCCACGGACTACGGGCTTATCAGACCCAACCAGGATGGGGAATGAGCGGCTTGCCCCCTGCACGCGCCACCAGCTGCAGCGCCAGGAGCAAGGACAGACAGCCTTGGCTGCTGGGGGCCAAACACTCCGGCCGTCTCCCCAACTGCCCTTTGATGTTCACTCTTCTGAGTCAGGGACCATGTCAGGCACGGCCCTGCTCCACCAGCACTGCCTCCTGTCCCCCACGCCCCCGCAGCAGGCAGACAGCTGGAAGCGGGGAAGGTGCTTCCTAATTCAACCTGTGGCTCCTCGCCTTGGGAAGGGCACCGCAAGCAGCCTCGCGGCCGTGAGCATCTCCTGAGCCTGCTGCAGGACTGCCCTGACCTCTAATAAAAGTGTGTGCAACTCTGCTGGGTGCCCTGTCCGTGGGCAGGGAGGGCAGGAGCCAGCCGTGTGCGCAGCGGGGCTTTTCAACAGCCCCAGAGCCGCCGCTTCGGGAGGAATCGAATGGATTCCCCAGCTCGCTGAGCTTCTTAAAACCGTTGTAAAGTCAAGGGGTAAATCTGGGAAGCCAATCAAAAATCTAGTTACGTGGAAATCGATGTAGGGGTACAGACTGCTAGCCGATGCCCTTCAATACTTTAATCTGTATTGGGACATCTCAGTGACCGCCCAGTCGGCGCTCGCGATTGGAGTCTGGTGCGGCTCCCGGGCCTGCACTGCATGGGGAAAGCCTGGGAAGTACCTGCAGCTGAGCCCGGAGGGAAAGGTCCCGGTGCCGCCGCAGCCACCGCGCCCGGGCCTGCTTCCGCTCGGCGGCTCAGCCCAGCTCGAAGCTCATTGGCTCAACAGAGATGAGTGACAGGAACCAAGTCTCTGGGAGGTAGAAGCCGCCGAGGCGCCCGCCTAGCACGACCGCTTCCGCTGGGCGTGGGGCCTGCGTGCGGCCCGGAGCGAGGTGGCCGTCCCAGGCTGACGGGAAGGGCTGGCGTTCCCGGCTCCGGGGTCGCCCCTTGTCGGCCCTGCAGCTCGGCTCCTCGCGAGTGCTCCCCTCGTGCCACTAACCCGAGCTCTGCGGGAGCCTGCGGGTCGGGACCATCTGCTCCCTTCTGCCTCGGGCCCGCGCCCACGGGAGGTTTCGCCCACCCCGCGCCCGGGCTGCAGCGGCCTAGCGCAGGCCCCGGGGCCGGTTCGAAGAAGCTTGGCTGCCCGGGACAGGCCGCTGCGGGGGCTGCAGTGATTGAGGTAAGCCCCGCCTCGCCCCGCCCTCGCCGGCGATTGGCCCAGGGAGGCTGCGGCAGCCAATGGGCGTCTCGCCCGGGCCGCGCTTCTCAGACCTTTACTCAACCCTGTGGCCGTTGGCCGGGTCCCGGGCTGCTCTGTGTCCCCGCTTTCCTCCCTGCGACTTCCCATCGGAAGGAGCCTTCTGAGGGGGTGAAGGGCACAGGGTCAGCACCTGGATGAGAGGCCCCCTGGTTTTGGATCGGATGCGGAAGGGGTCGGAGCCCACCAGCGGGTCAAGGAGCTTTGGTCGAGCAGGCTTCAGAGGCTTGAAGTTGCCTCTGGAGTTGTGCTGCCGCGGAGCAGGCCGTGCGGAGAGAGTGGGGCCGCCGTTAACCACTAGATGGTGCGTGGCTCCCCGTCAGTGGGTGGGCTCCTCGGAGACGGACCGCCGTCTTCCTCACGGGCCCAGGCTAAGAGATCAGTAAGCGCTTTAGGAACGAATAGGTGACTAGATGAAGTACAGTTGAAACGGTTTATATAGGTTCCTGAAAAAACAATAAATGATCGTTTTTGTCAACTCTTAAGTACTGGATTGAATACGCTAACACTGCTTGTCACGGTATATGCCAGCTCTTGACGCCGTTATTTACAGCTACTCCAAACAATGTACAAGGTAGATAAGAACATCACCTCGCTTCACGGCGGCCGACTTGGACTCCGAGCGTAAGTGAACGAGCACGTGCGCGGGCTCTGCTCGCTGAGAGGCCAGCGGGAGCCCCGGGGCGGGTGTGACCCGCACAGGCTCTCCGCGCGCATGCGCTCGTTCTGCCCTAACCGTGCGTCCCGCCGCCCACCCCATTCAGGCCCTCCGCGCGCATGCGCTCGTTCTGCCCTAACCGTGCGTCCCGCCGCCCACCCCATTCAGGCCATGGTCGAGGAGCGCCCCGGGGCCTGGTTCGGCTTCGGTTTCTGCGGCTTCGGGCAGGCGCTGGGCTCCGGCCGCGGGCGCCACGTACGCAGCCCCGAGCCGCTGCGGTTGCCCGGCGCGGGCGCCGACGTCGTCCGCGTGAGCGCGAGCTGGAGCTACACCGCCTTCGTGACTCGTGAGCGCCCCCGCGGCCCGATCCCCACCCGCCCCCGAGCCCGGTGCCCGCCCGCGCTCAGCCCGCCCTTCGCCCCGCAGGTGGAGGCCGCGTGGAGCTGTCGGGCTCGGCGAGCGGCGCGGCGGTGGGCTGCAGGGACGCGTGGGCCTCGGAGGCGCTCCTCGCGGTGCTGCGCGCCCGGCCAGGCCCCGGGCCCGGGCTGGAGCTGCAGGCCTGGGCACCCGGCTCGGCGCTGCACGGGGAGCCGCTGTGGGCGCAGCCGGTGGTGCCGGCGGCCCCGAGGGAAGACGGGCCTGGCGGGGAGACCACGGCCGGAGCGCTACCCCTGCTGCCCTGTGCCCGCGCCTACGTGAGCCTGCGGCCGCCCTTCTACCGGCCTCTGGCCGGGGAGCTGCGGGCCCGCCGGCTGGAGCTGGGGGCCGAGCACGCGCTGCTGCTGGACGGCGCGGGCCAGGTGTTCTCCTGGGGCGGGGGCCGGTGAGTAGGGGCGGGGCCGGGCGGGAGCCGGCGGGCCTTTCTGCGGCCTGGAGTGGGAGGTGAGCGGGCGGGGGCAGGCGGGCGTGGCTGCGGCGAGGGAGGGAGACCCGCGTGTGACCTGGCTGACGAGGGTGTCCCCCGCTCAGGCACGGGCAGCTGGGCCACGGCGCCCTGGAGGCGGAGCCCGAGCCCCGAGTGTTAGAGGCGCTGCAGGGCCTGCCCGTGGCCGAGGTGGCGGCAGGGGGCTGGCACTCGGTGTGTGTGAGTGGTGAGTGACCTGGTGCTTCTCCCGACGAGCTCGGGGGTTTGTAGACACCAAAGCTTCATCCTCCTTCCTCCTGTTTTGCTGGGTGGCCTGGCGCCCGTCCCACATCAGTCGGCCCCCCACTCGGGACCCCCAAATTCAGCCCCTGGGCTGCCGGCCGCCCACACCGCCACCACCCGCCCACAGCAGGACTGGCGCTGTTGTTCTGCCCTCTGTGGCTGGTCTCACTCCTCCTCCCACCCATCTGCCTCCGGCCAGGGCTGTCTTTCTAGAATAATCCCTGAAATTTCTAGAATTTCATGCAGGGGAGCATGAAAGGGAGGGGGTGGCAGCTAAGCCAAGGAGAATGGAGAAGAAGGGCCGCAGCTTCCCAGGTGGCCGTGATGTGTGGCACACAGTAGATACTCAGATGCCCACAGGGAGCAGGGTGGGGGTGGGGGGGTGAGGCCGAACGAGGACTTGACTCTGCACTGTGTTGCCCCAACGCCCTGGCAGGCCACCCAGGTGCAGCTGGTTCCCGGCTGTGGGGCGGGGCTGGCAGCCCGATCACTGCACACACCTGCTCCCGGGGCTTTTGCTGCCACTTAATCACCAGGGGTCTTGAAAAGCTACCTAAGCCTGTGCCCCCCCCCACGTTCTCATGTGAGGGGCCTGGGTTGGCAGCAGGCTCAAGAACTGCTGGGCTGGAGGAAAGGAAGAGAGGGCTGGGAACACGGCCCACTGGGAAGTTGCTCACTTAAGGGCAGAAGGAATTGGAGGCCTTAAGTTTGGTATAGTGTTTGGAGCCCAGATGCTTCAAATCGGACTTCCTAGGTTCAAGTCATCACTTTGCCCCTTGTGACCTTGGGCAGAGCACTTACCCTCTCTGTGCCTCCAGTTTTCTTGTAAATAAAATGGGGTATAGTATGTAAAGGTGTGTAGGGGGGTGTATTGTCATAAAAACTTCTGTAGGACTGTTATGAGAATTAAACGATTATATTTGAAAAATGCTTAAAACACTGACACAGATTGAACACTTGATAGAAATGGGCAACTGTTACTGTTGTTGAATTTAGTTGTCCCTGCGGAGCCTAGTGGGTTGTGGGGTTTGGATGGAGGCAGGGGGCTCAGGCGGAGGGGGTTCCCAGTCTGTTTAATGGCTCCCTTTTCTCTCTCTTCCAGAGACTGGGGATATTTATGTCTGGGGCTGGAATGAATCAGGGCAGCTGGCCCTGCCCAGCAGGAGCCTGGCAGAGGACAGACAGACAGTCAAAAGGGAAGGTGAGGGTCAATTCTTGACTTCCATGTGTTTCTGCCATTCTTGACTCTGAGACCTTACAGTGTTCAGAAGGGACACATGGCAGAACTCTGAGCCCCCTATGGGAGGGCACGTGCCAGCGTCCGCACCAACCTCTTGCTCCCTGGGGAATGTAGGATTTGGGAGCACCCACTCGGCCTTGGAGCTAGAGCGTAATGGGCTCCGCGGGGCTGAGGAGTGAAATGAGTTGTATAGTAGAGCAGTGCTCAACGTTACTCATTATCATCCCTCTTACTGCCTCTCTGAAGCCAGTGGACTGAGTGAAGGTGGTTCTGAAGGGAAGTGTGCAGGCAGGGGTGAGGACGGAGCCTCTGCCCCCTTCATAGCCATCCAGCCCTTCCCGGCGTTACTGGACCTGCCCCTGGGCTCAGCTGCAGTCCAGGCCAGCTGCGGATCCCGGCACACAGCAGTGGTGACAAGTAAGTGGGGCTGGGTGGGCGGGGGCAGGGCAGGAAGGCCTCCACCTGCGCTCTAGCTGGTGGCTGCAGAAGAGATCGCCTAAAAAGCTACTGCTTTTAAGCGTCTGTGACAAGTACTGAGGAGCTGCCTCACTCAGCAAATTAAGGCCAACCCCCACAGCAGCTCCCCAGCCCGTCAAACCCCAAAGGTTCTCCCTTCTGGAGAGAGGCCACTTCATCCGACAGCAGGGCCCGCCCAGTCCAGCTTCTAAGACTCCTGAGCTCAGGCCAGTCACTTGGCATATAGGAAGGTAAAAACGTTTTCAGTCTGGACCCTTTACCACCCCAAATATTAGACCGTTGTGAGAATGTGTTGTGCTGCATCACACAAATCTCATGGCGGTATAATGTGCTCACTATGGGCCGTGGCAGGCCAGGCTAGACAGAGTCCTTGTCCAAGAGCAGTGGTCTCACCCCCTTACTGTCCTTCTGGTTGCAGGAGCAGGGGAGCTGTATACCTGGGGCTGGGGTAAGTAAACGTTTACTTCTATGATCCTTAAACCATGGCGAGGAAAGATCTGGGGGTAGAGGACAGGTAACAACAGCCATGCAGACAAGGGGAAGCAGGGGCCTCACCTGACCTCTGGTAGACCAGACTGAAAAGCTAGGCTCGCTCAGGAAGGTCAGAGACCAGACAGGAGAGGAGCTATCAGTACTCTGCCACCTTCCTGAAAAACTGTTGGTCGCAAGGGAATATGTAGCCAGCACTGATGAAACATCTCGTGGTCTGGCATTGGGCAGAAAAAAGATAAAACAATCTCTGCTCTGGGTAGCCGAGCTGAGGAGCAGGGGACCCAGAGTAGCATCTTGCCTGGAGTGGCTGGTGGCCAGTGCCTCCTGGGAACCTGCGGGCTCTGTGGGCTGCTTTTCCTTCCTGGGCAGGAAGAGCCCCAAGGCCCAGTAGGGAGGATGGCAAAGAGGCTCGTTGCACCACAGGTAAATACGGACAGCTTGGCCACGAGGACACAGCCAGCTTGGATCGGCCCTGCCGTGTGGAATACTTTGTGAATAATCAACTCCAAGTACGGGCTGTGAGCTGTGGGCCCTGGAACACCTATGTGTATGTGTGGAGAAGAGGAGAGCCGACGTAGTCAACAAGGACATAAACAAATAAATGTACGGTATAGCGAATACTTACAAAGCGGACACCTGTGAAACTCCCTCAGGTCAAGGGAACCAAGCCCCGCAAGGCCCGCCGCTGCCCCTCCCCGGCACAGCCCTCCTGCTTCACCTTAGAGCTGCTCGCCCAGCTTTGTCCTCACATTGGAAACACCCAGAGCGCTCTGGACAGAGGCCCGAGGCCAGCATCCCAGACCCAGTGACATCAGAGCCTCTCGGTGTGGGGCCGTGGCCGGGGTGGGCTCGAAGCTGCCCTGCCGCCGCCTCATTGCAGGTGATTTGGGGGCAGTACCAACAGTGGGAGCCGCTAGAGCTTGTCATCTCCCGCTACTCAGCTACCTGTTTTCACTTCAGATCGGACCATTCACCTTGTCTGCATCCTCCGGCCGTAGTGTGTCTGCTTTTGAACTTCACGTAAATGAAATCATTCTGTGTATGGTCTTCTGTGTCTCGTTTGCTCATTCAGCACTGCAGTCCGTCATGTCTTGTCCTACACTTTACTCACTTTTGTTCTGTGGGATTCCATTGTGTGACTGTACCTTAAGTTATATATTGTGGTGTTGATGGTCATTTTTTCTTTTTATAGAGTTGAAATACACATAAAGTTACCATCTTAACCATTTTTAAATGTACAGTCAGTGGTGTAAAATACATTTACATTGTGGAGCCACTGCCACCAGCTGTCCCTAGACCTCTTTTCATCTTGTAAATCCAAAACTCTGTGCCTGCACCTCATAAGCAGTAATCCCCCCCTGGCCCCTGGTAACCACCATTCTGCTTTCTGTCTTTATGCTTTGACTATTCCGGGAACGTCACATAAGTGGAATCACACAGCATTTATCTTTTTGTGACTACATTTCATTTCACTTAGTGTAATGTTCTCAGGGTTCATCCATGTTGTACCCTATTGCACAATTCCCTTCCTTTTTTAGGCCTGAACATGCACTGGGTGTACATGCCACGTTTTGTTTACCCACACCCACACACTGGCTAGTAGACACTTGGGCTGCTTCCACGCTGTTGTGAAGGATGCTGCTATGAACATGGGTGTACAAATACCTCTGTGAGACTCTGTTTTCAACATCTTTGGGTATATACCCAGAAGTGGAATTCAGGGGTAATATGGTAATTCTATTTTTAATTTTTTAAAGAGTCTACATTCTATTTTCCACAGCAGCTGTACCATTCTACATTCCCAATATACACAAAAAGATTCCAATTTTTCCACATCCTTGCCCAACACTTGTTAAGTTTCTGGTTTTTCTTGATGGTAGCCATCCTAATGGGTGTGAGATGGTATGTCATGAAGGTTCTGATTTGCATTTCCCTAATGATAATGTTGAGTAACTAGAAATGTTGAGTAATATTTTATGTGCTTGCTGACCATTCATGTATCTTGGATAAATGTCTCTTCTAGTCCTTTGCCTATTTTTGAACTGTTATTTTTTTTGTTGTTGAGTTTTAGGAACTCTACATATTCTAGATATTAATCCCTTATCAGATATGTGATTTAGAAATATTTTCTCCCACTCTTTGGGTTGCATTTTTACTGTTGATAGTGTTTCTTGATGTAAGAAATCATTAAATTTTATGAAGTCGTTTGTTCTTTTGTTGCCAGTGCCTTTGGTGTCATATTCAAGAAATCACTGCCAAATCCAGTGTCATGACGCTTTTGTCCTGTGTTTTCTTCCAAGAGTTTTATTGTTTTAGGTCTCAATTTAGGTCCTTGATCCATTTTGAGTTAATTTTTGTATATGGTGTTAGGTAAGGGTCCAGCTTCATTCCTTTGCAGGTGGACATCCAAGTTTTCCCAGCACCATTTATTGAAAAAAACCTGTTCTTTCCCCATTCAACGTCTTGACATCTTCGTCAAAAATTATTTGACCACATGTACAAGGGTTTATTTCTGGCCTCTCTATTCTAGTCCATTGATCTGTATGTCTGTTTATGCCAAGATGACTCTGTTTTGATCACTATAGCTTTGTAGTAGGTTTTGAAATCAGGAAGTGTGAGTCCTCCAGTTTTGTTCTTTTACAAGATTGTTTTGGCTATTTGAGGTCCCTTGAGATTTCTTATGAATTTTAGGATGGATTTTTCTACTTTTGCAAAAAAGTCATTGAGATTTTTGTTAAGGACTGCATTGAATCTATACATCATTTCGGGTAGTATTGGCATTTTAATGATATTAAACCTTCAAATCCATGAAGATGGAATGTTTTTACTATGTCCCCTTTAATTTCTTTCAGCAGTATTTTGTAGTTTTCATTGTACGTCTTTAATACCGCCTTGGTTAATTCCTAAATATTTTATTACTCTTTATGCTATTGTAAGTGGAATTGGTTTTGTAATTTCCTTTCCAAACTGTTGTTTGTATGTAGAAATGCAGGTGACTTTTGTGTATTGACTTTGTATCCTGCAATTTTGCTGAATTCATTTATTAGTTCTCACAGCTTTTTTAATGGAGTCTCTAGGATTTTCTACATAAAGATCATAGCATCTACAGAGATAATTTTACTTCTGTTTCCAATTTGTATGTTTTTTTTCTTTCTTTTATTGCCTAATAGCTCAGACTGGACCCTCCAGCACTGGCTAAGGAGAAGTGGTGAAGGCATGCATCCTTACTTGTTCCTGATCTTAGAGGAGAGGCTTTTAGTCTCTCACCAGTGAGTATTATGTTTGCTTTTGGTTTTTCATACATGGTTTTTATTATGTGGAGGTAGTTTCCTTCTTTTTCTATTTTGTGTGTTTTTGTCATGAAAGGGTGTTGAATTTTATCAAATGCTTCTTCTGCATTGACATGATTGTATGATACTTTCCCCCTGCAGTTAGTTGCTTTGGCATATTACATTGGTCATCCTTGCGTTCCAGGAATATCCCATGTGGTCATGGTACGTGATCCTTTTTAAATGATGCTGGATTCTATTTGCTGGTATTCTGCTGAGGACTTTTGCATTGATGTTCAAAAGGGATGTTCTCCAATTTTTGTGTAGTGTCTCTGGCTTGGGTGTCAGTTATGCTGGTTTCATAGAATGAGTTGGAAGTGTTCCCTCTTAAATTTTTTGGAAAAGTTTGAGAGGTACTGGTGTTAGTTCTTCTTTAAATGTTTGGTAGAATTCACCTGCAAAGCTTTTCTTTGTTGAGAGGTTTTTGATTACTGACTTGATCTCCTTACTAGTTACACATCTATTCAGATTATCTGTTTCATGAGTTAGACTTCATAGGTTTTGTGTTTCTAGGAAATTTCTGTCTCATCTAGGTTGTCCAGTCTGTTGGCATGCAGTTGTTCATAGCACCCTCCTATGATCCTTTTCCGTGGATCAGGGGTGATGTCCTTGCTTTCGTTTCTGATTTTAGTAATATGTCTTCTTTTTTCCTTAGTCCTTCTGGCTAGAAGTTTGTCAATTTTATTGGTCTTTTCAAAGAACCAACTTTTGGTTTTTTCTCTATTGTTTTTCTAGTCTCAATTTCATTTATCTCTGCTGTAATCTTTATTATTTCCTTCCTTTTGCTAGCTTTGGATTTGGTTTATTCTTTTTCTGGTTCTTTTAGTTGAAAGGCTGTTGATCTTCAGATCTCTCTCATTTAATGTGAGCATCCATAGCTAGAAACTCCCCCCTGCGCACTCCTTCTACAGCATCCCGTTAAGTTTTGGCATGTTGTGTTTTAATTTTCACTCCTTTCTAAGTATTTTCTAATTTCTCCTTTGACCTACTGGTTGTTCAAAAATACTTCCACATTATTACAAGTGGTTTTTTTAATTGATTTCTAACTTTATCTTGTCATACTTTGTAGTATGTCTGTCTTTTTAAATCTATCAAATCTTCATTTGTGGCCTAATATATGGTCTATCCTGGAAAATGTCCCATGTGCACTTGAGAAGAACATTCTGCTGTGTTTTGGGTGGAGTGTGCTGTATGTCTTTTAGATCAAGTTGGTTGATTGTGGTAAGTCCTCTATTTCCTTCCTCACCTTCTGTCTGGTTCTATCTATTATTATCCACTGATTGGGTATTGAAGTAAGTGGTTATTGAAGTTTGCAACTATTATTGTAGAACTCTCTATTTCTCCCTTTAATTCTGTCAGTTTTTGCTTCATATATTGATGGTCTGTCATTAGGTGTGGAAATTATTATAATTGTTATCTTCTTACTGTTTTGAGCCTTTTATTAATATATAATATCCTTTTTTGACTCTTGTAATCTTTTTTGATTTAAAGTCTATTTTGTCTGATACTAGTATAGCTCCTGCTCTCTTTTAGTTACATTTTTTTATATTATTGAAGTATCATTGATAAACAATCTTATATTGGTTTCAAATAAACAACAGAGTGGTCCAACAGTTACCCATATTATTAAATCTTCATCCGCACTAGTGTGGTTACTATCTCTCAACACAGGGAGATGTTACAGAATCACTGGCTACATTCTCCATGCTGTACTACCATCCCGGTGACCAGCTTATATTATGCTTGAGAATTTTTCTGCCCCTTTATCCCCCTCACCCTTCCCTACTACCCACCCTAACCTCTCTCCCATGGTAACCACTAGTCACTTCTCAGTGTCTGAGTCTACTGCTGTTCTGTGTTCTGTTCATTCTGTTTTGCTTTGTTTTTTTATTCCCACAAATAAGGGAAATCATATGGTATTTGTCTTTCTCCACATGGCTTATTTCACTGAGCATAAATACCCTCTAGATCCATCCATGTTGTTGCAAATGGCAGAATTTCTTTTTTTATGGCAGAATAATATTGCATTGTGTATATGTACTTGGTTACTATTTGCATGGGGTATCTTTGCCATCCTTTCATTTTCAGCCTGTTTGTATATTTGGACTGCAAGTGAGTCTCTTGTAGACATCATACATTTGAATCATGTGTTTTTAACATTGTGCCAATCCTTCTCTTTTGACTGGAGTTTAATCCACTTACATTTAAAGTAATTACTGATGAGGGAATTCCATCACTGCACTGTTTTCTATATGCTATATGCTTTTTTGTCCCTCATTTCCTGCATTGCTTTTGTGTTGATAATTTTGTAGTGGAATGTTTAAATTCCTCAATTTCCTTTTGTGTAAATTCTATAGCTCTTTTCTTTGTGGTTGCTATGGGGATTACATTTAATATAAAGAGCAGAACTCCCTTGAATATTTCTTGCAGGGCAGATTAATGGTCACAAATTCCCCCAGCTTTTATCTGGAAGTATCATGATTTCTCTCACTTTTGAAGGACAGTTTGCTGGATATAGGATTCTTGGTTGATATTTTTTTTTCTTTTTGCTCTTTGAATACTGTCTTCTGGCTTGCACAGAGTTTGCTGTGGCCTTTGAATATTGTCTCCTGGCCTCCAAAGTTTCTGATTAGAAGTCTTTATCTGATCTTGCTGAGGATCTGTTGCATGTGAGAATTCATGTCTTTCTTGCTTTCAAGTTTGTCTTTGTCTCGTTTGAAAGTTTGGTTGTAATATGTCTCTGTGTCTGAGTTCATCTTACTTGGGGTTCATTGAGCTTCTTGGATGTGTATATTCATGTCTTCAAATCTGACACGTTTTCAGCCATTGTTTCTTCAAAATACTCTCTCTCCTCTTTCTGGAATTACCATAATGCATATGTTGGTTTCAGTGGTGTCCCATTTTGTCCCATCTCAGTTTGCTGATTCTTCTGCCTGTCCAATGTGCCTTTGAATTCCTCTAATGAAACTTTGATTTCATTTGAGCACATATAGGACTGTTGTTTTAAAGTCTTTGTCTAATATATCTGCCATTAAGTCTTTTTCAGGGACAAAGATTCTGTTGAAACATTTTCTTCCTTTGAATAGGCCATAGTCTCAGGTTTCTTTGTAATGCTTTGTGATTGTTTTGTTGAACCCTGGACATTTGAATCTAGTAATGTGTTAACTGGAAATCAGATTATCCCTCTTCCCCAGGGCTTGCTGGTTTTGTTACTGTTATTTTTTTATTGCTGTAGGCTGTCTATGTACCAAGGATCAGCCTGAGGCATAAATTTATATAAAACATTATGTATATACATATATACATGTATATATACATACACACATATATTCACAAACATATGGTATATATATATATATATATAAAACATAAGGTTGTCTTATGTCTTTTCTGAGCCTTGCCTTGGGCATACACAGTCACCTAATTCTTCCCATATATGCAGATGTTTTTGAATGTCCTATTCTTTAATGTTTGGTTCCTAAAAGATGAAAAGTGAAAAATAAAGTGGGAACAAAAGGCTCCTCGCCCTTTATATCTCCTGGAAGTCATTTGAGCTGGAGGGGCAGAGGCTTGCAACAAGAGGGGGGAGGCACACCAGTAGCTGCCAGCCTCTTTTCAGCTCTGTGACCAGAAGCAGCAATCAGCACAGGCCCCTGGTATTTGGCAGGCAGGTTCTTTTATGCTTACCTTGGCTCCTGCGAACTCTGTGCAAGCTGCTTTAGGAACGTGGGTACAGCTGCCTGTCACATGGCTATGAGGGGGTTGGGGGAGTAGCTGCTACTGTACAGAGCTGAAATTGCCTAAAACTGATCACAATTTGCCATCCAGGCCTTCCCCTGGAAGTTGCAAGACTACTGCGGCCTCCAGAATTCCTAAGTAAGTAGTCACATCAGTTTCCATCAGTGCAAATGATGTGTAGGTGGGAAGACAGACCATGGTGCTTCCTACCCTGCCATCTGCCCATAATCCTCTCTGATGGTTATTTTTATTGTTCCTGATTTTTGGCCATAACACACAAGGCTGCTTAAAAGCTGCCTTGTACACATGTGCATGAGTTCATCAGTGGGACACTCAGAGTAGAATTGGTGGGTTGATAACTTTAACTTTACTAGATGACTATGTAGTCCCACCAGCAGAACTTACTGTGGCTCAAACGTGAGGTAGGTGTATAGTGGTCTTAATATGCATTTTTCCAAATAGTAATGGATTTGGGTACCTTTTCATTTGTTTATTGGCCATTGGGAGTGTGCAATAAAGTGTTTTTCTGTCCTTTCAACACTTTCTGTATTTTTCTTGGTGATTTATCTTCTTTATATGTTAGATACAAGTCCTTTAGGAGTTAGGTGTTCAAAATGTCTTCTGCTATGCTGTAGGTCTTTTCAGTCTCTTTATGGTATCTTTTTGTGTTAGATTTATATTTAATATTTATGTGGTGCTTACTCTGGGTCAGGTTAATGCTTAACAAATAACTTATTTTGACAAACATTAAGAAATGAAGGCAAGTTTATCAGTATTTCCCTTAATGGTTAATTTGTGTGTGTGTGTATTTATGTGATTTAAGGAATTTTCCCTAACTTTGGGATCAGGTCAAGATACTTTTCTTTTCTTGTGGTAAAATATACTTAACATAAAATCAACCATTTTAACCACTTTTGTGTATAGTTCAGTGGTATTAAGTACACTACTCACATTGTTGGGCAATTGTCACCACCATCCATCTCCAGGACATTTTTTTCATTCCGTACTGAAGTTCTATACCGACACCCATTAAACTCCTCATATCTCCCCCATCTGCATCCTCCACACCCCACAACCTTCCTGGCAGGAAATGAGTGGAGAGAAAGCTGCTGGCGGGGAAAAGGGGGTTGGATGTGCTGGGTGACTTCCATTGGCCTTTCTAGGTCCACTGTTCTCCTGGCTCTCTGCACTGGGAGGCTGACCTATATGGACAACATGTCCCTAGTATGTGTCATATCAGCAACCCTCTTGTCATCTGGCTTCTGGGTGGGGTCAGCCAGAGGAGCATCAGCAGATCAGAGGAGAATGATGTGGAGATTTTTATTTTCCTGGCTTCCTGCCTGTAGAGTCACTACCTCTGTGTCCCTTGGCCAGAGGTCCTAGCTTAGCCTCCGTCAGGTGACCCTGAGCCACCCTCTCTATCCTTAGATCCTTCAAACCCAAGTGTCCAAGTGCGGCAACAGCACCCCCTATTGGTCCCTATGTTTCTCTGCATCCTGTACACACCTTTGCACACAGCTTTATGCTTACCTTGGCTCCTGCGAACTCTGTGCAAGCTGCTTTAGGAACGTGGGTACAGCTGCCTGTCACATGGCTATAAGGGGGTTGGGGGAGTAGCTGCTACTGTACAGAGCTGAAATTGCCTAAAACTGATCACAATTTGCCATCCAGGCCTTCCCCTGGAAGTTGCAAGACTACTGCGGCCTCCAGAATTCCTAAGTAAGTAGTCACATCAGTTTCCATCAGTGCAAATGATGTGTAGGTGGGAAGACAGACCATGGTGCTTCCTACCCTGCCATCTGCCCATAATCCTCTCTGATGGTTATTTTTATTGTTCCTGATTTTTGGCCATAACACACAAGGCTGCTTAAAAGCTGCCTTGTACACATGTGCATGAGTTCATCAGTGGGACACTCAGAGTAGAATTGGTGGGTTGATAACTTTAACTTTACTAGATGACTATGTAGTCCACCAGCAGAACTTACTGTGGCTCAAACGTGAGGTAGGTGTATAGTGGTCTTAATATGCATTTTTCCAAATAGTAATGGATTTGGGTACCTTTTCATTTGTTTATTGGCCATTGGGAGTGTGCAATAAAGTGTTTTTCTGTCCTTTCAACACTTTCTGTATTTTTCTTGGTGATTTATCTTCTTTATATGTTAGATACAAGTCCTTTAGGAGTTAGGTGTTCAAAATGTCTTCTGCTATGCTGTAGGTCTTTTCAGTCTCTTTATGGTATCTTTTTGTGTTAGATTTATATTTAATATTTATGTGGTGCTTACTCTGGGTCAGGTTAATGCTTAACAAATAACTTATTTTGACAAACATTAAGAAATGAAGGCAAGTTTATCAGTATTTCCCTTAATGGTTAATTTGTGTGTGTGTGTATTTATGTGATTTAAGGAATTTTCCCTAACTTTGGGATCAGGTCAAGATACTTTTCTTTTCTTGTGGTAAAATATACTTAACATAAAATCAACCATTTTAACCACTTTTGTGTATAGTTCAGTGGTATTAAGTACACTACTCACATTGTTGGGCAATTGTCACCACCATCCATCTCCAGGACATTTTTTTCATTCCGTACTGAAGTTCTATACCGACACCCATTAAACTCCTCATATCTCCCCCATCTGCATCCTCCACACCCCACAACCTTCCTGGCAGGAAATGAGTGGAGAGAAAGCTGCTGGCGGGGAAAAGGGGGTTGGATGTGCTGGGTGACTTCCATTGGCCTTTCTAGGTCCACTGTTCTCCTGGCTCTCTGCACTGGGAGGCTGACCTATATGGACAACATGTCCCTAGTATGTGTCATATCAGCAACCCTCTTGTCATCTGGCTTCTGGGTGGGGTCAGCCAGAGGAGCATCAGCAGATCAGAGGAGAATGATGTGGAGATTTTTATTTTCCTGGCTTCCTGCCTATAGAGTCACTACCTCTGTGTCCCTTGGCCAGAGGTCCTAGCTTAGCCTCCGTCAGGTGACCCTGAGCCACCCTCTCTATCCTTAGATCCTTCAAACCCAAGTGTCCAAGTGCGGCAACAGCACCCCCTATTGGTCCCTATGTTTCTCTGCATCCTGTACACACCTTTGCACACAGCTCCTTCATTAAACTTTCCTGGAACTGCCTAGTTTGGGTGTTCTTGCAGGACATCTGCATATGGTGTAAACCAGCCGAATCCCGGGGCAGGCTGTGTAAGCGTTTATTCCAGAGCTTACAGAAATAATTTCCCTAGACCAGTTCTGGGCTAGGTGCTACACATGAATTTGTGCCAGCAAGGCAGAGAAAGACAAATACCATGTGATTTTCACTTGTGTGTGGAATATAAATACAAAGTAAAAGAGAAGGAACAAAACAGCAGGAGACTCATAGACACAGAAGGGACTGGTGGTCACCAGGAGGGAGGGGTTGGGGTGAGTGGGTGGGGGGCATAAAGGGGCACAAAAATTGTCAACCATAATATAAGCTGATCACGGGGATGGCAGTACAGCATGGAGAATACACTCAGTGATTCTGTAACATCTATGTTGACAGACAGTGACCATACTAGAGGAGGTGGGGATTTAATAATATGGGTAACTGTTCAACCACTGTTATATATTTAAAACCAATACAAGTTGTATATCAATAAAGATTAATTTAAAAAAGAAGAGCTAGAACCCAGGACTGTTCTATTCTTACCCTCCAGGCACAGAGCCTTCCTAGATGGTGTGTAAAAAGTGTTGCCTCGTAGTATTAATTTCATTCGATGACTGCCTAAGCGAAGTGCTAAAAACAAGGAACACCTTTCTGAAAGAAAAGGTATAATTTACAAACATGAGAAACTGACAATGCAAGACCAGTCTTAACTACTGCTTAAAACTTCCGAGCAATCTGTCCTGATCAGCACAAGATGCTTTTTTTAAGGTAAGCATTTAATACTGTGAACTTTCCTCTGACACATGCTTTAACTTCATCTCAGATTTGGTATTATTGTATTTTCATTTTTGTTCAGTTAAAATCTTATTTCTCTTGATGTCCTCTTTGATTTATTTAGAGGTATGTTGTCTATTTTCCAAATAGGTATTTCCTGAGAGTTTTCATGTTGTTATGGTTTAATTCCATTATGGTCAGAGAACATTTTGATCACTTCAATTTTTTAAACAATTGTTCAGGTTTGTTTCATGACCCAGGGTGTGGTCTGGCTGGGTGACTATTCCATGTGCACCTGGAAAGAACAGGTCTTCTGCCATTGCTGGGGAGTGTGTTCTGCAGTTGGGCCCAGCTGATTAATGGTGAGATTCATTTCCCTTTTTTTGCCTAATTGTTCTATGGCTCACTGAGAGAAGTAGCGAAGTCTCCAGCTCTAATTGTATATCTGTCCATTTCTCCTTTTGGTTCCACCAGTCTTGTGTATTTTGAAGCTGTTTTTAGGTACATAAACATTTAAAATAGGGACATCACTGGAAACAGTGTAAGGAACTCCAGGGCTCTCTCTCCATATATGCAACTACTGACCTTGCAAAAACTCTTGGAATCAACTTTTACAGAACTCTAGAAATCTAGTTAAAAAGAAACAACCGCTAGGGGAAGCCCTGACAGGAAAGCAGCCGCTGCTTTGCTAAGTGCTGTGGTGTTTTAAGTTGCCCATGTACCATTCCCCACACTGCAGACCAGTGCTGTGGGGGTATGAGGACGAGGGCACACATTTCTGGCACTGGTTGCTAGTACCAGAGGGGGAATATAGTCCTGCAAGAACTGTGTTTTGGGTCTCACCCAATTCTGGCAGCTTCCTTGAAGGACCAACACAAAAGCTGGCCTTTGTTTTGCCAGACTCGGTCTTCCCCGGGCTGGGTAGCGTTTTGCTGAACGTACTTAAAGGCTCAAGTACTGACTCTGGCAGCCTGGGCAAGGGACAGCAGTTGGGACAAACAGCAGAAGTACAGAAAGCCTGTGAAGAAAGAAGTTGGGGAAGGATACACATGGCGGAAAGGCATTTTGAAAGCTCGTACAGTGTTCTGGGGACTGAGAAGGCATGACGCCTGCCCAGGCCGGCCATATACTCAGAGCCTGAGGGAACGCCAAGCTTTTGCTCCTGCCTTGCCTCGGGCTCCGCACAGGCGAGAGGAAGGCTGAGGCAGGCTTGTCAGCAGCCGGCTAAGTGCTGGAGAGGCCCAGCAGAGCCGATCTGTGCTTTTCATGTTTCTTTTAAAAGAGTTTAGCAAGGCTACAAGATACAAGAGCAATATACAAAAATTCTACAAATATACAAAAATATACAAAAAAATATACCACAGCATTTCTATAAGCAGGTAATAATCAGAAATTATCCTTTGAAAATACCACTTACAAGAGCATCAAGAAATATGAAATACTCAGGGATAAATCTCACAAAGATGTGAAATATCTGTACACATGATGGGTACAAAATACTGCTGGGACAGATAAAAGAAAACCTAAATGGGGAGACTTGCAGGGTGTCAATGTCTGCTCTCCCCAAATTGACCTCTAGATTCAATGCAATCCCAGTAAAAATTCTAGCAGTTTCTTTGGTAAAAATTGACAAGTTGATTATAAAACTCATATGAAAATGCAAAGGACCTAGAGCAGCCAAAATAACTTCAATTTCAAAAGTTGGAGAGCTAACACTACCTGATTTCCAGAGTTAGTATAAATCTGTAGTAACCGAGGCAGTGTAGTACAAGCTTTCGGATAAGTGGATCAATAGAACAGAAACATACAGACAACTCACTTTTGATAAAAGTGCAAAGGCAGTACAGTGAACAGACCTTTTCCACCAACAGTGCTGACAACTGCAAAAAAGATAAACTTAGAGCCATACCTGGAACCATATAGGAGGACACACACAGAGCCAAAATGGATCGCAGACATAATGTGAAACCTAAAACTTTATAAACCTCTAGAAGAAAACTTCCTTGTGTTACATAAAGATTCCTTAGAACAACAAAAGCACAAGCAAGGAGCAAATGGATTTCATCAATATTAAACCTCTGCTCTGCAAAGACACTGTTAAAAATGAAAGAAGCCACAGACTGGACAATCTTTGCAAAACATCTCTGATGAAAAGGCCTTGTATCCAGAGTATATAAAGAGCTCTCAAGACAACAGTAAGAACACAAACCCAATTTTTAAAATGGGCAAAAATAGCAAGTACTTCACCAGAGAGGCAGGTGAAAAGATGCTCACCATCACTAGTCATTAGAGAAGTGCAAATTAAAACCACAGCAAGGTACCACTTCACATCTACTCAAATGGCTTAAAACTGAGACTGACCATACCAAATATTGGAGATACAGGGATACTGGAACCTTTGTATTGCTGATGGCAATGTAAAATAGCCCAACTACTTTGGAAAACAGTTTGGCAGTTTCTTAAAAAGTTAAACATAGACTTACCATACATATGATCCAGCCATTCCACTCCTAGGTATTTACACAAAAGAAAAAGATATCCATACAAAGACTTGTTCATGAATGTTCATAGCAGCTTTATTTCTAATAGCCAAAAACTGCAAGCAACCCAAATGTGAACAAACGTTAACAAGTAAGTTGTGCTATATCCATACGATGGAATAGGAACTCAACAGGAAAAAAAGAACGAACTATGAATCTCAAAGAAATAGGAAAAGAGCCAAACCAAAAAAGAATGACTCCACTTAACATGAAACTCTAGAAGATGCAAATTCTTCTCTAGTGGCAGAAAGAGCAGCGGGCGGGCGGGCCTGGGAGGGGAGACTCAGACCAGGGTGGGAGGGAGCTTTTGGGGGCGGACGGACGTGCTCAGTGACTCGAGGACTGTGGTGATGGTTTCACAGGTGTATACTAGGTCAAAATTTATCAAAACTATACACTTAATTAAATGTTCATTTTATAATAAAAATAAGGCTTTTCTCAGAATTGGACATTCTTAGTTTTAGTAATGCACAAAATATAAAAATCACACTCCCAACTAAAAATTTCTTGTATGTCCTTTTCAGTCTTTTCTGTTTTCCGCAGACCAAACAAACCAAAAAGTGATTTGAGAAAAAAAATGAAAACACCATAATATATGTTCCTGAAATGTAAGTACACACATTTTTATTTATTTTTAAGAATATATTTATATTGTAAAAACAGGACGAGTCTAAGTATGTCTGCACTGCATGGCTGACACAGACCAAGCCCACACTGGTAAGTATTTGAGAACCATTTAATGTGCTGACAGTAGTACTGGTGTGACAAACAGAATAAATAGAGCTCTGGGGAGAGCAGTAGTGACCGGCAGGACAGGCGAAGGAGCCTCATCGTGGGCCCTACAGCAGAAACAACTCCCCAGTACTGACATGTGCAAAGTTCCAGATCTCCACAACAGAAATGGCCCAAACATCCAAACAGCCTCCTGCCTTGGCTGACAATGTCCCAGGGTAGATGAACTCAGGTAAGGTGGAAATGAGTGGGGAGACTGGACACAGAAAGTAAAGAAATGGAGTTCAGACAAACGTGTTCACACACATGCCACCCACACACAAACACAAAGGACATTGCACTATATAACAGAGCTGTGCACAGTTTGACAAAGGAACTCCCAGCCTGTCAACTTCTGACACACAGACATCCTTATCAGGAGGAAGCCTGTCCTGTGTGGAGGGGACAGGCCTTTAGGTGAGAGCGAGGTATCAGCTAGAACATTAACTGACATCCCTAAACAAAAAAGATGTTAATTGCTCATTATAAGTGTACAAGACAAAATAACCTCATTTCCCGACCCCAAGGACGGACACAATCGCTTTCCTACACAGTGGTGAAATACAAGCTCTTGATCGTGCTTTTAGCAAGTGAATTCTGGGGTAGAGAAAAAAATTAGGTTCCATATGCTAAAATTTGCACTTAAAGTTTTAATGTATTTGAGTCAAAATAAAACTAAGCCTCTATGGAGGCCTAAACCTATGACGTACTTTCATCCGTAACACTCATTCACTTCTGCAAGCTAGGCATGGTAATGGAACCTGTCCAGAGCTTCAAGCACACCTCAACTGAAAAAAAATTAAAGCCACCCCTGTATAATTCGGTCCAGTCTAGGCACAGGGGCACAGGAAGCCAGAGCTGATCAGGGCTTCTCAGGACTGGATGTTGGTAGAATTGAGGATTCGAGATGTAGCATCAGATTTGGAAGCCTTTGAAAGTTCTCGCTGTTGAGAAATAAATAACATCAGCGGCAGTACTGCCCCTCTCATGCACGCCCCTCCCTGATGAGCACTGGTAAGTGTCAGCGTAAGTGCCCTGCATGCTGTTTTGTCTGAGGTTCAGAGGTCCCCAGCCCAGGCTGTGTTACAATAAAAAGGTGAGAGACTCTGAGCACCATCCTGTCAGTCACAGAGGAAACATATCATATATGCCCTTGACCCCTTTCCTCGGCCTGTCCATTCTGCTAAAACCTCACCTCACAGAAGAGAAATCTCTTAGACTTCACAAAGTACTCTCTGAGTTGTCAAGCCAGGTAGGCATCAAGTATATTGTAAAAACAGGACGAGTCTAAGTATGTCTGCACTGCATGGCTGACACAGACCAAGCCCACACTGGTAAGTATTTGAGAACCATTTAATGTGCTGACAGTAGTACTGGTGTGACAAACAGAATAAATAGAGCTCTGGGGAGAGCAGTAGTGACCGGCAGGACAGGCGAAGGAGCCTCATCGTGGGCCCTACAGCAGAAACAACTCCCCAGTACTGACATGTGCAAAGTTCCAGATCTCCACAACAGAAATGGCCCAAACATCCAAACAGCCTCCTGCCTTGGCTGACAATGTCCCAGGGTAGATGAACTCAGGTAAGGTGGAAATGAGTGGGGAGACTGGACACAGAAAGTAAAGAAATGGAGTTCAGACAAACGTGTTCACACACATGCCACCCACACACAAACACAAAGGACATTGCACTATATAACAGAGCTGTGCACAGTTTGACAAAGGAACTCCCAGCCTGTCAACTTCTGACACACAGACATCCTTATCAGGAGGAAGCCTGTCCTGTGTGGAGGGGACAGGCCTTTAGGTGAGAGCAAGGTATCAGCTAGAACATTAACTGACATCCCTAAACAAAAAAGATGTTAATTGCTCATTATAAGTGTACAAGACAAAATAACCTCATTTCCCGACCCCAAGGACGGACACAATCGCTTTCCTACACAGTGGTGAAATACAAGCTCTTGATCGTGCTTTTAGCAAGTGAATTCTGGGGTAGAGAAAAAAATTAGGTTCCATATGCTAAAATTTGCACTTAAAGTTTTAATGTATTTGAGTCAAAATAAAACTAAGCCTCTATGGAGGCCTAAACCTATGACGTACTTTCATCCGTAACGCTCATTCACTTCTGCAAGCTAGGCATGGTAATGGAACCTGTCCAGAGCTTCAAGCACACCTCAACTGAAAAAAAATTAAAGCCACCCCTGTATAATTCGGTCCAGTCTAGGCACAGGGGCACAGGAAGCCAGAGCTGATCAGGGCTTCTCAGGACTGGATGTTGGTAGAATTGAGGATTCGAGATGTAGCATCAGATTTGGAAGCCTTTGAAAGTTCTCGCTGTTGAGAAATAAATAACATCAGCGGCAGTACTGCCCCTCTCATGCACGCCCCTCCCTGATGAGCACTGGTAAGTGTCAGCGTAAGTGCCCTGCATGCTGTTTTGTCTGAGGTTCAGAGGTCCCCAGCCCAGGCTGTGTTACGATAAAAAGGTGAGAGACTCTGAGCACCATCCTGTCAGTCACAGAGGAAACATATCATATATGCCCTTGACCCCTTTCCTCGGCCTGTCCATTCTGCTAAAACCTCACCTCACAGAAGAGAAATCTCTTAGACTTCACAAAGTACTCTCTGAGTTGTCAAGCCAGGTAGGCATCAAGTTTTGGTCTTTTGAGCCCTTTAGAAAACAGGACCTGACCACATATCTACCAATCCCTGGGGCTGAGGGCCTTGTAACCTGCTGGTGATTTGATCTCTTGCTGGAGCACATGGTACAGAAGCAGAAGATAGAGCATGAATGGCCACTGAAAAGGACAGATGTTAGTAGCGATTAGTGACTGGCTTTGATGCTGCCTGGTGGAGCCTGCCAGCCGCAGCCCCAACCAGAGAACCTCCCTAGGCCTTGCCACAGACAGCAGGTACACGTAAGTGCCAAGTGGGTGAAATGAAGCCTGGCTGAGCAAGCAAAAAAGACAAAATTGGATCCCCTGGCCAGCAATCAGCTAGCCAGAGTGACATGCACCCAATTCTAGAAGTAGAACCATGTAATTTGAAAAAAGGTGCCAGAATAAGAAACTAGCTTCAGCGCTGAATGCAAGCTGTACCTGTGGGCGGCTGTCCCACTCGCCATCACTGCAGCAGCAAGAGGTTGGCACCCTGGACTTTAACTCAACCAAAGGGTGAGGAGCGGCCTCCCGTCTCAGTAGGAAGACACTGAGGGACGGGAGGACACGCCTCAAGTAAAGGGTGCTACGGTTAAGTGTCGGTAAATATAGAGTGTGTTTACTAGGAGCTGAAGAGCGTCCTGAACACTCTCTTCCAGTGCCTCATGCGTGCCTCAGCAGCTCAACTAGGCAGTAGGCCAAGGTCAGGAGAGGAGCGGCTAGCGCAGAGCAGACAGGAAGTCAGCGGTTCCGCCTTGAGGGGTTAGTAAGGCATATACTCCAGGAAGTGACCAGCACAGAGGCCAAGAACCTCACTGCAGGCAGCACACAGCTGGGACTCCCCTCCCCGCATCACAGGGCCTCTCTTCTTTCCAGCACATTGGAGGCCTCTGAGGTTTATGAAATAACATCATAAAAAGACTTTGCCTGACTTTAGGTGGGGCTGAGAATCCAATTCGAGTCTGAACAAGCTTTCTTATAAATCAGCAAGTTAGTCTTTTGTGATTTAAGCCAGATATTTCTTACTTTTGAAGTTTGCATTAGGAATTCCTGCTGTTTTTGTAAAAAAGTTCTGATAGTACAGCTGAGATTATTGGTTAGTGTAGCCCTGTGCCCAGATGGGAATGAAGCCAGCAGATGACAGATCAGTTTGGAAAAGGGACATGGGACATGCAGGGGTTGCCATACAGACCTGAAGCCCAACAGTGGAGCTGTCAGAGAGGGACGGATCCTTCTAAGAACAGAGAATTAAGACAATTACCAAGAACTCCACCAAGAGAGCACCGGGGCAGTGATTGAAAGGGTCGCCTCCTGCAGCCAGGGAATGGTATTTCTTAAGCAGAATGATCTAGGTTACATGTCCGGTTGCTGCTGCCCACTTCCTTCTTATATACCCCGCCCCCATTAAGCCACCCCAACCCCACGCTGTGGTCAAGGCAGGAACGGGATTCTCAGCCTCCAAAGGACTGTCCTAAAACCTGGGTGCCCTTGGGAAGATACCCACTCTGCCCCAACTGTGTGCTCCCCAGAGACTGGTAGATATTAGAAAAGGTGAATTACCGCAAACTCAGAATAGGTGCTGGCAACAGAATTAACGCTGAAGTTGCGCTGGGTGGGGGCTGAGTCGGGGTACCCACCACTCAGGAAGCTGCCATTGAGCTCCAGGTTCTCCTTGTTGGTGCCATGCCTGACAGCCCGGGGTGTTTTCTGCCCTGAACAGGTGGAAGTGATGACTGGCTGTTGAGAAAAGGATAGGCTGATATATCATCCTTATAATGACTACACCACACACAGCAAAGGCTGATACCATCTTTAAATTATCCCTACGTCTCTCCTTATGCAAGAGTGCCTGTGTCCCGTGATCCAGTGTCAGGGGCTGGAACCTACATGCAGGGGCCTCGCTCAGCAGCAGCCAAAGCCCAGGCTCTGGAGACTACCACCTGCTCTTGTTTCCCAGTCACATCCCTGTGCCTCCTATGATACTAGTGGGGCTCAGAATAAGCTTTCTCTTCTTTCTCTCACTTAGTTCTTGACTGGCTGGCTTACATCTGTCAGCTCTCAGCATCTCATTGATAGTGGAACCCAGTCCTCTTAGAAACTAAAACAAGTAGGCGGGGCCCCTGGGTAGACAGGCCGGGGCAGTGCTGGACATGCTTGTACACAGAACATACTAACCTTGCTGCCAGAAGGTGGAAGTCGAGACGCGGGAGAGTGGTACACTGTCCCCCCAAAGAGAGGCCGAATGCTGCTGTTGGCTGTAGCACTGGACATGGTGGTAGTGTTCAGCTAAGGAGAAGAACAGATTCCTGATGTGAGATAATATACTTGACAATCCATCCCTACACCACAGAAAAACAAGTATGGGAAACAGCCTAAGAAAGATGGTTTACATGGTGAAGAGCTTTAAGGAAACTTGTGGAAAGTGTTCAAAGTCTCTTTACATCCAAAAGGGGTACAATAATCAGCAGTCACACTATAAGCTGGTCACGGGGATGGCAGTACAGCATGGAGAATACAGTCAATTATTCTGTAACATCTTTCTGCGTTGACAGACAGTAACTGCAGTAGAGGGGGTGAGGATTTAATAGTGTGGGTAACTGCTGAACCACTGTATTGTACATTTGAAACCAACATAAGATTGTATATCAATACTTCAGTAAAAGAAAAAAAAAACTTAGAGTCTACTTATATCCAGCAGATGGAACTGTACGATTGTACATTGTTTCTAAGTCAGACACCGACACATGACCCAGCCATATCACTCTAATGTATTTACCCAAGAGAAATGAAGGCGTATCTACATACAAAGACTTATGCATAAATATTACAGCAGCTTTATCTGTAATAGCCAGAAACTAGAAATTGGCCAAATACCCATCAACAGGCAACTGGATAAGTATCGTGGCATATTCGTATGTGGAATACTGCTCAGCAGTGAAGAGTGACCTAGTGATACATGTAACAACATAGATGAATCTTTAGAAAATTATGCTAATGAAAGAAGCCAGACCAGAATACATACTGTGTGAGTGACTCTTTGTAAAATGTTAGAAAATGCAAACCAGTCAATAGTGACCTAGCAAATGCGTGGTTGCCTGAGGCTGGAGGAGGACGCGGGGGAGAAATGGGAGCTGGGAAGGACCAGGAAAGGAGCGTGAGGGGCAGGAGGAAAGGTGTGGTGTTCACTGTCTGGATTGTGGTGATGGTTTCACAGTACATGCTTATGTCAAAACTTCTTAAAGTGTACACTTTAAATGTTATACATCAATTTTAGTCAATAAAAATTATAGACGTTAAAAAAAAAAACTCGAGGTGGATTAAAAACCTTAAATAAGATAGCAAAGATATTCAAATATAAGATGCAAACTAGGAAATATAGGAAAATATCTGGGTGGCTCCAGGTCATGTGTGTATTACTTAAAATATACAGGACTGATAAGCCATAAAGAAAAAAGACTGAAAACATTTTTACAGTATTAAGAACTTTTCTGTTCATCAACAAAATACCACAAGGAGTAAAAAAGACATGCTACACAAGACACACACAAATCCTGCCAACAAACATGGCAAAAGGTAAAACTTCATAAGTAATTAGAGAAATATAAACTGAAATTAGGATAACACATCATTTCATACTTGTCAGGTGGACAAAAGTTTAAAGTCTAAAAGTGTCACATGTTAACAAGGATCGGAGCTACTGTACATTCAGGCACTGCCACTGGAAACGTGAACTGTCACAACCACTTTGCTATCACAGACTGATGACTTCAGAAACACCAGCACACGCCACTCTGAAGAGCGAGGGCTAGCTAGCTTATCTTTGTATTTTCAGCATCTAGCACGGGGGTTCTCAGACTTTAAATTAAAACAAACCTTTCTAGAATTGAACTTTAGTGTTACATGTTTTTAAAAGTTAGTCACATTGTTTTCATAATAAAAAATTACCTAATTTCAGAAAGCAGAGAACTGGTTTAACAAATGATAGTATGTCAAGAGGACAGAGTATACAGCTAGTAACGAACATGTAGTGAAGTTTGAGGCTATGAAAAAAAAAATCAAAACCAATACTAAGTAGAGAAAAAGTCAGAAATCAAAATTATATAACATGGTATCTATTTTGTAAAAATACATTATTTTGAAAAGCCTTTTTAAAATGCAGGAAAAACATCAAATATTCTCAATGGTTCTCTTGGAGTTACATTACTGGTGTTTATGTTACAAAGTAAAAGTTGAGGAAGGAGGAGGATAAGAGGAGGATAAGGATTATCAAAGAAAGAGAACAAGCTGCCCGACTCCCCACTCTAGAGATGAGGGGGTCCAGCTTGGCATCGCCTGCCCTCTGGCCTGCACAGATATGAAGGGGTTTTTCTGGCCTTCCAGGCCGAGTCCTCCTGAGAGTGGATGGAGTTCAGTACTCCATCCACTAAACATCACAGTCTCACACATGGTCATTTGGAATTTAGGATGACCCTCTAACAGGTTCTCATGGTGACAGAACACTGGCAGTACTGGTTCCCCTGAGTTGAACCCAAGGACTCAGCCACTGGCACACATCGAAGCTGGCCACTCCTGACTGCCACTACCAAGTAGCTCCTCAAGGTCAAACTGCCTTCTTTCCACTCTCTCGAATGGACTCAGCCTGGAAGGCCAGAAAACCCCTTCCCATCTCTGCAGGCCAGAGGGCAGAGCCGGCCAGGAGCCCCAGCAATCCCTTGTGAACAGTGATCCGTGAGGCCTCAGGTTCACCTTGCGCACTTTGCCAGGTGTGCTGGGCCCCAGTCCTCGCCGCTTGCTGGGTGTTCGGGGAGCACTGCCGTAGAGCATCTCCGTCTCTGTCTGCTTCTTGTTCTTCAGTTGCTGAGGGAAAGAAGCCACAGTGATAAACCCCACTCAGAGGATGGTTCTGACATGAGGCCAGAAATCGCGTGCCAGGGCTCTGCACCCAGAGCTAAAAAGAGCTAATGGGCTGCTTTGTCAACCAACCCAGATCCCTGGCAGAGACAATGTGCTGCTCACATCACTACCTTCCCCTCTTCCCAAACTGTTCACTTACTCGTTCCTGTTTAGCTCGCTCTTTCTCCAACCTGTGCGTCTCCCATTGTTCAGCCACATACTCCATGAATTTCTGCCCATTCACCACAAACGCCTTTGAATGCTCCTGTTCAAACATTTCAATGCGTGCCTTCAACTCCTCTTCCAGCTGAGACCACAAACAAGGACATGTTAACTACTTCAAATCTTCAGCGTGAAGCCCAAATGCGGTGATTCTCCCAAAGAGCAAGCAGTCCCTCCCTCTCCAGAGCATCAGTAGCTTGACTTCAGGTAGCTGGACCCATGTGGGTACTGGTCAGAGTGGCCAGAAATCAAAGCCCAGGATGGGTCACTCACAACACCCGTAAAGGTGGCAAAAGGTGCCCAGAGTCTGGCCACTAAGGCTTTGGTGCCTAAAGCTGGGGGCAGCACTGTTGAACGACATTACATAGCAGTGTACATTAAGAACAGCACTTATCAGGTTCCAATGTGGGATCAACCTCTCACTGGCTGTGAAAAGGTGGGCAAGGTATTATGCGAGTTCTCAGTGCCTCAGGTAGGTATGTAAAAACAGAAGTGATAATACCTACCTCATAAGAATGTTCTGACCGTTAAATGCATAAATGGAAAGCACTTTGAAATAGTTTCTGGCACTTAATTCAATAAATGCTAACTATTATTATTATTAAAATACAAAATAGTAATGAAGCCCACTGCACTTTCTCAAAAGCTTGCCTTGTGGGCTGAATTGTGTCCCCCACAAAATTCATGTGCTGCAGTCCTAACCTCCAGTACCTCAGAAGGTAGCATTATTTGAACATGGAGTTAGAGTTAAAGTAAGGTCATAAGGATAGGTCCTATTCCAACATGACTAGTGGCTTTATAAGAAGGAAAAATGTGGATGTACACACACACACAGAGGGCAGACCACGTGAAGACACAAGGAGAAGACGCCCACCTGCACACCAGGGTGGGAGGCCTCAGGGAACCAGCCCTGCCTACATCTTGACCTCAGACTTCCAGCCTCTTGAATGGTGTGAGAAAACAAATTTCTATTTTTGAAGCCACGCAGTCTGGAGCACTTCACTGTGGCAGCTCTAGAAAGCTAGTAAGCCTTGATATTTAGCTGCTTACAGAGGAAGACCCTGTATATACCTCTGGTTCTTGCCTAAGCTTTAGAAGAGAAGACAGTTTGGGGGCAAAATGATTCAAAGCAGAGGATATATAAAAAGTGAGGTATTCTGTAGCCAAGCAAAAACTCTTTGCAACAGTATTACCTACCTTGGGGAGTGTTTTTTGGAGCTTTGCTCGTTGCTTTTCTTCTTTTAGAAGATTTCCTCCACGGTTTGTAAATCGACTTGGATCAGAAGCTTTCTTCTGTCAAAATATTTTTTAATTAGCATAAGCCCTGGGACAGTCAGATCAACTACTTCAGTTAGATTTCTTGCTCTCATGAACAGATACATGTGATCATGGAGACTTTCAGTTTTTCATTCCTATCCCCTCAGCTCCAAGAAACAGTGCCATTCTGAGGCAAGGGGGTGGAGTGTGAGCACGCAAAAATTGGGGCAGGTTATGGGAAAAATTTAGAAACTATCTTTACAATTTTGGTCCAAGCTTGTGAATCAATTGTTTCCCTTCCAGACTGCTTGACTGGTGACTGCCTATAAGCAATAACTAAAGTAGATGGTAATTCGTTTCTTATTCTTTCTTAATACTGGCCTCTCAACAGGTTGATGACTTGGGTCTTTGACATTCACTCCTTGCTTTCAACCGAATTAAGTAACTGAGGACCAGGACTCCTGCTCATTAAACAGCTCTAAGACCTCACAGTTCTCTCCATTTCTGAGTCCTTGGTTCCTTACCGTACACTTGAAGGAGCGAACTCGGGACCCTCTAAAGGCCCCCCGGCCTTAACAGCAAGCATGAGAGTCTCCTTGAATCCTGTGCCTACTAGCCTTCCCTGCCTCACTGCAGTCCTAGCCCTGAGCCCCGAGGGAAACTGTCTGTGCTCAGCCTACCAGAAAGAAAAGGAATTCAGTATATAAATGTGCCCCAGTGCCCATGCAGTTTTCTAAGATGACAGCAAAAATTGGAATGGAGAAAATTCACACCTTCCCAGTGACCTACCTATATTATGTGTGCTAATCATAATGCCCCTTAACCCCTTCTCCCACCCTCCCCAACCCCCTTTGGTAACCTCTAGCACCTTCTTGGAGTCTGTGAGTCTGCTGCTGTTTTGTTCCTTCAGTTTTGCCTCATTGTTATAGTCCACAAATGAGGGAAATCATTTGATACTTGTCTCTCTCTGCCCAGCTTATTTCACTGAGCATAATACCCTCTACCTCCATCCACATTGTTGAAAATGAGAGGATTTCTTTTCTCCTCATGACTGAATAATATTCCACTGTGTATATGTACCACATCTTCTTTATCCATTCATCTACTGATGAACAAACACTTAGGTTGCTTCACATCTTGGCTATTGTAAATAGTACTGTGATAAACACAGGGGTGCATATGTCTTTTTGAATCTGGGATCTTTTCTTCGGGTAAATTCCCAGGGGTGGAATTCCTGGATCAAATGGTATTTCTATTTTTAGTTTTTTGAGGAACCTCCATATTGCTTTTCACAATGGTTGAACTAATTTACATTCCCACCTTTTCACAGCCAGTGAGAGGTCGATCCCACATTGGAACCCTGATAAGTGCTTCTCTGAATCCTCGCCAGCATTTGCTGTTCCTTGTCTTTTGGATGTTGGCCATCCTAACTGGTGTGAGGTGATATCTCATTGTGGTTTTAATTTGCATTTCCCTGATAATTAGCAATGTGGAGCATCTTTTCATGTGCCTGTTGGCCATATGAATTTCTTCTTTGGAGAAGAGTCTGTTTATATCCTCTGCCCATTTTTTAATAGGGTTATTTGCTTTTTGGGTGTTGAAGCATGTGAACTCTTTATATATTTTAGATGTGAACCCCTTATCAGATATGTCGTTTATTAATATATTCTCCCATACCGTAGGATGCCTTTTTGTTCTGATGGTGCTGTACAGAAGCTTTTTAGTTTGATGTAGTCCCATTTGTTCATTTTTGCTTTTGTTTCCTTTGCCCAAGATGTGTTCAGGAAAAAGTAGCATATAATTTCTCATAGTATTCTCTAATAATTCTTTGTATTTCTGGGGTATCTGTAGTGATTTTTTTCCTTTCTCATTTCTGATTCTGTTTGTGTACATTCTTTTTCTTGGTAAGTCTGGCTAGGGGTTTATCTATTTTGCTTAGTTTCTCAAAGAACCATTGTTTTATTCTTCTCAATTTTATTTATTTCTGCTCTGATCTTTATTATGTCCCTCCTTCTACTGACTTTAGGCCACATTTATTCTTCTTTTTGTAGTTTCATTAATTGTGAGTTTAGACTGTTCATTTGGGATTGTTCTTCTTTCTTGAGGTAAGCCTGTATTGCAAATGTACTTTCCTCTTAGAACTGCCTTTGCTGCATTCCATAGGTTTTGGGGTGTTGAACTATTTTCATTTGTCTCCATATATTGCTTGGTATCTGTTTTTATTTGGTCATTAATCCTTAAATTGATTATTTAGGTGCATGTTGTTATGCCTCCATGTGTTTGTGGACTTTTTATTTTCTTTGCTTAATTTACTTCTAGTTTCATACCTTTGTGGTCTGAGAAACTGGCTGGCACAATTTCAATCTTTCTGAATTTACTGAGGCTTTTTGTGGCCTAGTAGGTGATCTATTCTGGAAAGTGTTCCATGTATACTTAAGAAGAATGTGTATCCTGCTGCTTTTGGGTGCAGTGTTCTGTAGGTGTCTGTTAGGTCCATCTGTTCTAATGTTGTTCAGTGCCTCTGTCTCCTTACTTATTTTCTATCTGGTTGATCTGTCCTTTGGGGTGAATGTGTGTTGAAGTCTCCTAAAATGAATCCATTGCATTCTATTTCCCCCTTTAATTCTGTTAGTATTTGTTTCACTAATTTAGGTGCTCCTGTATTGGGTGTATAGATATTTATATAATGGTTATATCCTGTTATTGGACTGACCTTTATATAATATCCTTGTCTATTGTTACTTTCTTTGTTTTGAAATCTATTTTGTCTAATAGAAGTACTGCAACTTCTGCTTGTTTCTATTATTTGCATGAACTATCTTTTTCCATCCCTTCACTTTTAGTCTGTGTATGTCTTTGGGTTTGAAGTTAGTCTCTTGTAGGCAGCATATAGATGGGTCTTTTTTTATCCATTTTGCAACTATCTTTTGATTGGTGCATTTAGTCTATTTACATTTAGGGTGATTATCAATAGATACATATTTATTGCCATTTGCAGGCTTTAGATTTATGGTTACCAAAGGTTCAAGGGCAGCTTCTTTATTATCTAACAGTCTAACTCAACTTGCTTATTAACACTATTTCAAACACAATTTAAAAGTTTCTTTTTTTTCTTCTTCTTTCTCCACTCTTTATATATTAGGTATCATATTCTGTACCCTTTGTGTATCCCTCAGCTGACTCTGTGGGTAGTTGATTTAATTTTGCATCTGCTTAGTAATTAATTGGTCTACTTCCTTTACTGTAGTTTTATTTTCTCTGGTGACAGCTATTTAGCCTCAGGAACACTTCCATCTAGAGCAGTCTTTTTAAAATACACTTATAGAGACTGTCCCTTTAAAATACACTTGTAGAGACTGTTTGTGGCAGGTAAATTCCCTCAACTTTTGCTTATCTGGAAATCGTTTAATCCCTGCTTCAAATTTAAATGATAATCTTGCCACATAGAGTATTCTTGGTTGGAGGCCCTTCTGTTTCATTACATTAAATATATCATGCCACTCCCTTCTGGCCTGTAAGGTTTCTGCTGAGAAGAGTGATGTTAGCATGATAGGCTTTCCGTGATGGGCTTTCCTTTGTACATGATCTTTTCTCTCTCTCTAGTTGGTGCTTTTAATACTCTCTCCTTGTCCTTAATCTTTGCCATTTTAATTATTATATGTCTTGGTGTTGTCTTCCTAGGGTCCCTTGTGTTGGGAGATCTCTGCATTTCCATGACCTGAGAGACTATTTCCTTCCCACAGATTAGGGAAGTTTTCAGCAATTATTTCCTCAAAGACACTTTCTATCCCTTTCTCTCTCTTCTTCTCTGGTACCCCTATAATGCAACTATTGTTCTACTTGGATTGGTCACACAGTTCTTATTATTCTTTCATTCCTGGAGATACATTTTTCTCTCTGTGCCTCAGCTTCTGTTTTCCTTTTCTCAAATTTCTATTTTATTTACTGTCTCCTCTACCTCATCTGCTTTTAAATCCCTTCACTGTATGTTTCATTTCAGATACTGTATTTTTCAAAGTTTCTATGTCTTCTTGAAGTCCTCCCTGAGATTTTGATATTTTTGTGTAGCTCTGTGAGCATGTTTATGATTTTCATTTTGAAATCTTTATCAAGAAGATTGGTGATTTCAGTTTCACTTAGCCCGCTTTCTGGTATTTGCTGGATTTTTGTTTGCACAAAATTTTTTGGCCCTTTCATATTTCTAATGATTACTATGGAATAATAACTTTTTGTAGGTGGCATCCTCTAGTGCCCAGAAGCTCTACTCTCTGGAGCTGCCCAGCTTCTAGAGCAATGGCAGGAGGGGTCACAGGTGCATGGTTCTGGCACCTGCTGGGAGGAAAGAGCTCTTTTCTGCTTCCTGGCTGCAGTGCCTGCCTCCACTGCCAAGTCCAGTGGGCGGAGCATGCAGGGAAGAGCCTCTGCATTATGCCCCTGTAGCTGTTGTAAGTGGGGCCACGCTCTGACTGTCCTAGCACAGTGGTGGGGACAGCAGGGTGGAGACCAGTGCCTGATGGGAGGAAGGAGCAGCAGGCTGTGTATTGCAGTGGGGGGCCTTGGTACTGCATTGTCAGCCAGGGGAATGAAGCAGCTGAAGCTCCTGAAAGTCCCCAACCTGCTTGGCTGAGTGTGCTGGGACGATTCCGTTCACCTGTCCTTTCTCCTGAGTAGCAAACTGTGTAATCCTTGCTCCTTTAGCACCCCTCTTGCTGTTGGGCTCTCTTAACACTTTATTGTACTCTAGGGAACACTGGCAAAAACTAAGGCAGTACCTCAAACTCTAAGAAAAGCCTCCAGCTGTCTTCCCACTTCTGGACACCTTCAAAGAGTTCCTTGTGAACCTCATAGTGGTTCCTTAACCGCACAATCTCAGCATCATGGAGCTGGAGCAGATTTTCTGTGTAGTCCTCTGCAAGATACAGGCCCAGCAGATTAAAGACAGATCCCTCTAGTGTTAAGTATCTCATCCAATTTATTAATCCCTCAGCCCCCTAAAATATTTTTTTCTTCCTTATAGCAAAAATTATACATGAATAAGTATATATTGTGGATAATAAAATCTAGTTCTGTCATGATCAGCATGTAGGGGGACTAAGGGACTAGGGTGTGGACTGAAATGATTAAAATTCTCAAAGCTCTGTCATTTCTCACCTTGCCTTACATGTCTTTCATATTCTGCCTTTCCACCCTGCCTAATAGAGCATTGGACAGAAAATGTCCAAAAAGCACAAAGCACTTGTTGCATTTATTTAAGACAGCCTTATCTTTATAGTCAGTTTGGTTAAGACCAGAATTCTGTTGGGCTCTGGGGTCAGACTGCATGGATGCAAATGTGGGCTCTGCCATTTATTCACTGTGTGTCTCTGGGTTAAGCTGTTCAACATTTATGTGCCTTAGCATCCTTATTTCTTGACATGAGAACTGAGATAATAGTGTTAAGGGTTTAACATTGTACCTGGCATACAATAAGCACCTGGTAAACTTTAGCTTCACCACTGCAGGCAATAGTGATATACTACCTGCAGAAACCAAGAGACCCCTTATTTCCTAATAGCATTTGCAAATGTTTATTTGTACAGAAATGGCAATTTATGCCCAATGGCTTTAAAAGGTACCTCTGTCTGTTCAGTAGAGGAAATACTTCCTGGTGAGTGGCTATACTTGTAAAAAACAAGTGAGCAGGCCACATGAAGACCACTGCTTCTGTACTCACCAGCATAGAAGGGGGCAAATGCCTGTCTCTGTTCCTGGCTGTAAAAACACTGGTCCCAGTACTGAGCCAGCTCCACTCGAATTGCCTCAATCACTTTCTTCATGTTTTGCATCTTCAGTTCTTCCAACCGATCCACTTCTAATTGTAGCTGAAACAAAGAGACCTGTTAAAGGTGCTTGTCATACTTTTACATTCATGTAATTTTGCCAAGTTCCCCCCTTTTAATAAAATTACAACCTAAAGCCACAGAGTAAATCAAAACTCTTTGTAACAGTATTATAGGAGCCAGAAATCTACGCAATGTACACAAAAGACAAGATGAGCAGGCTATTGTCAACCTTTTCCTTTTCTGATGCTTGTCTTAAAAATGTTCCCTCAAGACAGAAGCTGGTAGACATCAGATGACACAGAGACTGTTGACTGCACCTACTGGGTTTCTTACCGCTTTCCTGACCTTGGCCTTTGATCCTGTCATAACCGTGGCCACAGCTTCTCTCTCTTCTACAGGTACCTGCAACCGGTCCCAGAGCTCTCGGATCTGAGCCCGCAGACCCTCACACACAGCTTCATTTTGTGATTTTCGCATTTCCAGCTGTAGCAAGGAGAGCCAATGGTTACAGCAAAGACAGCACAGAGGTGTTTAGCTCTCTGACCTCCCACTAAATGTCTGGACCCACATGGAAAAGAAGCACTTTTACCAGATTGTGAAGAGGTGTGTATTTTCATCATTTCTGAACACAAATTGTAAGACCATTTGAATTAGGATTCAAATTTTGAATTAAATATTTTTCAATTAAGCATTAAGCTAATTCACATCATACTGTTTTTTCCAAAATTTCAATTTTACATTCACAGAGCTCCATATAAATTCTTTTGTTAAAACAAAACAAAAACAACAACAAAAACAAGCTAGTTTATCATATAATGCTGTCTCTACCCTCTCTCATTCTCTTTGCTTACACTGGCTCCACATTTTTTTCCTCTGAAAGTGATGTTTGTTTTGTTTTATATTCCCAGGGGCTTGGAGGGCAGTGACTATGGCAGCGTCAGCCACATTTGTCCTCCTTAATTGGCTCCATATTTAAGACTGAAGGAAAAAAAACTCAGTTTTTTCAAACTGCTACATACCACGGAGATCCCAGGCCCTAATCTGGGTAGACATTACCTGTCGTAGCAACTTTTGTAGTGTTGCAATATTCTCCAAAGATAAACAAAAGGCATCTTCATCTTCACACATCACATCTCTTTCAAAGCTGGTATGTGGGACGTGATCTAATTCTTCCATACACAGTATGATCTGCCTCTTTATGTTGACAAACTCCTCGTGCCTAGATGCCTATAAAACAAAACTGAATTACGAGATACCTGGAGGAAAGACGAACAGACTTTGAGAAAGCAAGTGTACCTTTGTTTCCCTCAAAGTTGCCACGTGCTGTCTGAACTGGCTCAGCGCATCCAAGCTAGGAACTGAGGCACTGTCAATGTCATAGTGGGGCATGCAAAGAATTTCACACAGTTCCTGATCTTGTTCTTGAAGTAATTTCAGTTCCTGTTTTCTCTCCCTTTTCTGTTTTCGCATCAGTTCCACCTGAGTGCGCAAATCCTTTTCTAGTTGCAAGATGGTCGTCTCTCCTTCTTCCTGCTTAAGAAAATGTTATAAGGATCCAAGTGCATTTCTTGAAGAGAAGGGCAGTGGAAGAGGGTAAGGATGAGAATTTAAGTTAAACACACAAATAAGTCAACTCATGGCCAAAAGAATATAGCACAAAGGGAATTCCCTAAGGAAGGCCTCCAATAAAGAATGGATGGTACCACGCATTTTGCTAAGAGATGAAAACTGGTTGGAAGGCTGGCTAACTACAGGGCAGCATGTTCGCTTGTAACTGAACACTTATCTTAATAATCCTAAAAACATCACCCAAACAAAAATGAATTTGTCTTGCTCTCCTCACTATAAACAAGAAAAAAAAAGTGGCAGTTACATGTCTCATAAATTTACAATTTCATTAAACATTGGTAAACTAAGAATAAGAACTGTCACGTATTTAAGGGAGATCTTCCACTATATACCTAACTTTTTACCTAATTTCACATCAGAAAAAAAAAAAAGACTAAAGAAAGAAACTATTAGTCCAAGATCGATGACATTTATACCCTTTCTGTAGATTCCAAGAAACTCCACTGATGTCATGGTCTGCCTGGTTGCTTTTGGCTGCTGGGTATTAATTACCCTTAGCCCTTTAAAGGCAGTTTCCTTCCTAGGTTGACTGCATCTAGATACCCAGGCAGTTCTCTTCCTATAATGGCAGGAGACCCAGGAACCATATCAGAACATTAGCAGCCAACATGTGTAATCCCTGAACTCACTTCTATTCTAATTATCTTCCCAAGCTCCATGTTTGTCCTCATCTTTGTGACCCCATATTTACTGCTTCTAACCAGGAATATGTTTGGGGCCCATCTGAATTCACTTATCTTTGCTGTGTCCTCTGTCAAGCTCCTGACTTAGGCTGGATCACAACACAGCAACCCCTCAGCTTGGAACCGCAGTACCTGGGGCATGCTCTGAACCTGACTGCACTCTCCTAATCCTCCCGCTGCTGATGCATTTCTTCTCAAGTACCATTTTGGCTGGTTTGGTGACGTGCAATCTCTTGGTATGGAAAACCCCACAAAGGCAGGTTTTTGGTAACTTTTCCCTTGTATCACTAGTCACTTCTCCCTCAGTAGCTCTTTTCATTTTCTTTCAGAGAGAGACAGCATAGGACCATCTGTGCTTAGCACTGCTTCAGAGTTAAAAAAATGTTTTATATATTCTGTAAACTGACAGCAAGAGGACGCTTGTCTTTGATCAAAGCACTGTGACATATTAGCTGCTTCACCTCTCAACAGGGCAGCTCTACACAGTGAGAATTACTTTGCTAGAACTGATTAGCTAGACAGCATGTCTCCCCCACTTCTCATGTCCAATACCACTCCTACCCTACAAGGAACCTTCTGTCTGCAGCCCCAAATCCAATCTTTCTCAAGTCTCAGACCCAGGCAGGGTCCTGAGACCCCCACCATGTACCTGAAATGGCTCGACATGTAACTCACTGCAGAGGGTATTCAACTCCGTTTGACAGAGGGATATGCTTTTGATGAGTCTTTCCTTCAGGCTCTCCTCTTCAGCAATCATCATATCCAGGAGGTCCTACCAAAAAGAAAACCGTTACATAAAAGTTTGGGGCCAACGGGCAAAAACCCAATTGACAATGCCAATGCCATGCTAATTTCAAACTTTCAGGAAAGGACTTAGAATCAGGAAAGCCTGTGACACCCCAGTGTCACTTCTCCATGTTACCCCCGTCCCACTGCAAGGAATTCAGCACTACACAGCTCACCTTGATATGCTTCTTTACAACTTCAGTTCTCTGTAACCGCTGGTCCTCTGGAATCCCAATTAATTCCCATATTTCCCGAAGGTGGGTCAGGGCTTTTTGGAGACATACTATGGACTCCTCTGCCAACACCGCACTGAAAAGCAAAAGAAAAGCCAGTTACACAAGCCTGTGCCTCCAGACTAAAAGCAGTGTTTACAAGAACTAAACTAGTTTCTCAGTAGCTCCAAGAACAAAGCAAATTGAAAACAAGCATTCAGGGAGCCAAGATGGCAGCATGAGTAGAGCAGCGGAAATCTCCTCCCAAAACCACATATATTTTTGAAAATACAACAAAGACAACT